ATAAACAGTATTCATTGGTAGTATAGAAGGTAATCAGAAAATGTTATTAGAAATCTCTAATTTTGGTATAGTCAGGCACATTTAAATTATGTGGAATTCAACAGTAATATAAGTTTATTTATTGTTATTTTGCAGAACTTCGATGAGACAAAGCATATTCACAGGCGTAGTTGAGACCCTACAGAAATCAATTTCTATTGATCATAATACTACGTTAGTTTTTGTATTTATATAAGGTATATTATTGAGGGTATATTATTGAGGATCTTCAAAATAAACCATAAATTGTTTCTCTGAAAATACAAGTTCTGTTTTATTTAATACGCCTTTACAATATTACAACAATTATCAAGTTATGACAATTACACTTCTATCTCACCTGAAAATACAAAGAAACGACATTTAAAGTTCACTAATATCGCTTCCTCAATCGTATCCTTCGGTTTATCTCTCTACAAGTTTTTATAACAATAAAATGCACAAAATAATCTAAGCGTCATCTGCCATTGAATCATAGTTCACATGTCACTTCGATGTGCGAAATTCAAATTAATGAAATGTCATTCATTTCATTACATCTCCCCCCCCTAAGAGCGAAAATTCTAAGCAATATATCTATACAATGTACCTATAAGTTATCTTCATATTCGTTTTCTTCTCCTTAATCTTCTTCAGCTTCTGTTAAGACAGGTTGTAATTTTGTTATGTGAAATAATGTTGATTCTGTTTTTCTGTTGCCTGTATCAATCCTATAAATGGAATTCGATATTTTTTCAATTATCTTGAAAGGGCCTATTTTTAATTCGTCTAATTTCTTTTTATTCAGTCTATTTCCATTTTCTACATATACACTGTCTCCTACATTAAACTCTTGCATTTTTCTATTTTTATCAAATATTTTCTTGTTGTACTCATGGGATTTTATTGTATTCTCTAATGCCAATCTTCTATCAGCAATCCACTTGTCTTCCTTTTCTATTGTTTTAATTTCATTTGGTAGAATATTGATATTTGTACCATCCAGTAAATATTTTGGTGCAAAACCTGTAACGGAGTGTTCTGTTTCATTATATTTCTGTATACATTCAAATTAGTATCATCATTCATGTATCAAATTAGATTAATATTATTCTCCTGCAAGTATTGCTTAAATTCTCGTGAATTAATGCCCGGATATTGATCTGTCAGGATAATTCCAATTTCATCTGTCTCTAGTACTTTCTTTGTTAGATTTATAGCTGTATATATAGGACTTATTTTCTTCTGCAATTGCCTAATCCCAATATGGCATAAATCTTCATGCACCTTTTTTATAAGTTCTTTACTAAATTCTTCTGAGAGGATAATCTTTTCCTGTTTTTTTCATTTTTTTTATAATAGATTTTATTTTTGTATATTAAATTTTCGAAATTTTTTTTTTTTGTATATTTAATTTAATTTTCTTCGATGTGCGAAATTCAAATTAATGAAATGTCATTCATTTCATTACATTTATATAAATGGAATAACTGTTTTTTTTTAGTTTTGTCGTGTGAAAACTAAACAATGACACTATTATCAGTGAACAAGAAAACATTCAATATGCGACATTGCAAAACTTTGTCCCAGAAATTCAAGATTCTCTTGAAATACCCAATACATCTGAGACGCTTGTTTAGTGAGTTCTCTTTTGATCAAGTTTGTTTTGAAAGGCTTTAATTGTGTAGTCCTATTTCTAAGAAAAATAATCTTAAAAGTAGGAGTAAAATGCCTCTGTACAGTAACAAAGTCACGACATGACCCAATTTCATCCTGCATATAAACACTTTGACGGCAATTCAACACGTACCTTTTTTTTTTGTTGACGGGGTGAAAAATCCCTTCGGATCTCCTGCTCCTCGGGGACTCAGGAGCCAGGAGTATGTGGTGATTCCACTAAAAACCACCCCGACGGCCGGCCTTAGGTGTCCTACTCTGGGGAGGACCCGGACCATGTTATTTCAAATCCTCCCCGAATTGACACCATGCCTAATCAGGCCCTATCCCAGGGGAGAACACTTCCCCCTTCAATCGCGGCATGGCGGCCCGATCGCATCTTAATGCAATCAGGCCGGCCATTCCATTCCCTACCACAGCAATCAATCCAGAGGTCCCCACTCTCTGGCGGCCCGCGGCCCCGTCGACGGCTGATATCGCCGCCGACGTCCTCTACGTTCGGGATCGGCTCTCTCCCGATCCCGTTCAGCGTTCAGTACAGCTTCACAAAAAGAGACCACTGCGTCCCAGCCCTCCTCACCCGCCAGCATGGCAGCAATGATTGCTCAGGGACAGGTCTCGTCCGATTTGGTGAACCAGGACCTCGCGTTCAGACGCCCACGCGGGGCAGTCTTCCAGCGTATGCTGAGCGGAGTCCCAGTCGGCTGCGCAGTGCTGGCATTGTGCCGTCTCCTCGGGTCCAATCCGATTCAGGTACTCCCCGAAGCAACGATGCCCAGTGAGTACCTGCGTCAGTCGGTAGGTGACGCAACCTCCCTCCCTACCTACCCAAGCTTCAAGGTCAGGCAGAACGGCATCGACAGCGCGTTAATTCAACACGTACCTATCTATTATTTTATTTATTTATTGATAGCCTGTATTGTCCCACTGCAGGGCAAAGGCCTCCATCTCTCCCTTCCATATCTCTCTGTCGTATGCTAGTTCAGACAAGTCTATTCGGAAACTTTTCGGCCTACCACGTTGTCGTTTAGCGCCTTGTGGGACCCAGTGGTGCTAATTTTTGCCCATAAATCTGTCGGCATGCGGCAAACGTGTCTGGCCTAGTCCCATTTGCTATTTGTGTTTTGAAGCGTAGTGCTGTATTTCTTGTTCGGTCTGTAAGCTGTACGCCCAAAATACTACGCTCCATGGCTCGCTGGCAAACCTTTTAGCGCGGACCTCTGCTGTCCAGTTAAAGACCAAGTTTGTGCACCATATGTGAGAATGGGTAGGATGCACATGTCCATGAGCTTACGCCTATGACACAAGGGAAGGTTACCTTTCATGAGGTCCTTCATCGACCAATAACGTCTGTCAAGAAATCGTAACGATTTCTCCAGAAAATAATGATGATGTGAAGGGGAAAAGTCTTTAGGCATAAACTTAGTGGCTACAACTGGAATCGTGGCAACAGGCATCGGCAGTTTGAAGAATTATTTTCTGCAATAGACATACCCGTCTTTTCGACACATACATACACACAGTTGCAAAACAAGGTATATGAACATTGGGAACTGACAGCAGCTGATACTATGCAAGCGGTAATAGATAAGGAGAGAGAAATAGCCGTATCCGAAAGTCGAACTAAAGATGGATATCCAGTGATCGATGTGTATGCCGATGCATCATGGAGTGCGCGCTCTTATGGCACCAATTTTAAGGCCCTTTCTGGCGCTGCTGCTATTATTGGCAGAAGAACAGGTGCGGTCTTGTACATGGGTGTAAAAAATAAATACTGTTTAGTTTGTAGCCGGGCTAAGCAAAAAACAGGTGCGGAAGTACAACGGCCACAAAATATTACGGGTCCTCCGTGAGCTATATTGGATTTCTGTAATATGTATCGCAGAATCACCTAAGCGCACGGAAATTCACCCTAGTTGACACAAGATCCCCATAGTATACCGCCCCAGATGTCACCTGCAAGCTATTCAGCATTGCATTACGTTCATTATACCAAAGACGACATTCCCAGAGGATATCATGAGCAGACTGTTCATAGTGAGAGTTAGGTGTTGAGCATTGACACAATGGTGACTCGACTAATTTTAATGAATAAAGCTTGCTCTTAAATTTACCATGACCCGTAAGAAATTGAGCGACACAGTGATCCACCTCAAGCCATGTCCTCGACAACCGTTCGCGAAAAGATGGAAAGAATTGGTAAAGATGGCGCCCCTTGGATGATTCATCCCAGCGTTGTTGCCATTCGTCTATGAGATCATTATAGACATCGGACTGCTGTTGAAGCAATCTTGTAATTTTACCGCGATCCCGCGCGCCATAAAAATGGCATTCCATGTTTTGTTGCCTTGAATAGTACATGGCTGCACGTCTCTGCACCTCGAGATCGACCGGAAGCACAGCCACCAACACCGGCAAAGCCTCAGTGCTAACCGTCCTATATGCCTTGCACTAGAATATCAGTGCAAGTCGTTGGCCTTGTAACAGTTTGCGACGGACAGCGCCTACGGCCCATACAGGTGCACCATAGCACATAGAACCTAAATAAGTAGCTCCGTATATGATCTTTAATGTATTAAATGATAGACCCCCTGTCGCCTTGTTGTTGCCTTTTAAAAGTAGCTGGAAGGTTTTGTTGGGTGCAAAAGTTAAGCGATTACGTTCACCCCATTGAGATATCAAGTTCAAACATCTATTGGCTAAGTTCAAGTACAGTAATAAACCGTCATCAGCATACGCGTTCAGAGTATATCCGGATGGTATTGGTATCGCAAGAAAATCGTCGAAGCCGATATTCCACAAGTATGGACCTAGCACTGATCCCTGAGGACATCCCATTGTAAGCGCCTTCGACACAGAATGATGACCAAGTCTTAGTTTAGTTGTACCTTGTGAAAAGTACGAAAAGTTAAGGGAATAAATATTTTTAAAGCACCCCCGTGATTTTAATTTCAGAAACAGCATGGGCCACCATGCGTTGTCGAAGGCGCCAGATATATCTAAGAAAATAGCCAGCACGTATTGAAATTTTGACTCTGTGACAAACTTTCTAATCGATATAACAGCGTCAGTTGTCGATTTACCCAAATTTGGTAAATCCAAATCTAACTATATACAACGTAAATCTAACTATATACAAAAAACAGAAATAGTTTGTTGCGTGAGAAGTCAGGTTAGCATGGTTGAACTCATTCGGAGAAATTTTGGCTTAGGGACTAGAAAAATAGTTTTTTTTAAATTTAAAATTTATTAATGCACCAATTATGTTCTCCTTATTACATAAACTAAGACGCATACGGAGCAGCTTATAGAGCAATATACGGAGCAGCACAGTCTCGGACGTATTCCTCATCGACGCACGATTGGGAACTTTCATCAAAAGACAGGCCGTGGTCACAGCTCAACAACCGAGGGTAGCCTCTTTGACAAGCTACATACAACTTACAATGTTGTTCGTATCTACAAAAACAAAATAAAATTCATTTAATAATCAATAAAATTGTATACATCTTTTCATGCTGTCCAAACTTATTTGTGTGTTTTACATGAGGATACATGAGACGTCTTCGATATAATCTTCTTAAACAAGGGAATTTAACAAAGTGAACTACCAAAACGCTTACCTGTATTTGTAAATTATGTCGGACACCAAACCATATTCATCAATCGGTGGCTCGGGACAAACGTAGTCCTTGAACACTGCAAATTAAATGAACGTTTAATATTGTACACAAAATTTCTGTGATACTTGTATTAATTAAGTAATTATAGAAGGGTGTTATAAATTACCATTAGGGTTACACTGGGGCACATTCTCTACCCAATCACAGCTCTGGACAGTTGGGTTGAAAACCAACCCAAAAGGACAATCCATGACGGTCGCCGCGCCTTCTTGACACACAATATATTTTGAGCAATCGCCATCATTTGTCGAGTAAAATCCATATTGTCGAGGACATTGGGCTGTTGGATTTGGGTTTTCTGTAAAATAAAATAATAAATGAATTAAAAACTGTGAAAATATTTTTGAATACTAAGAGGCTTAGAACAGAGACAAAAAGTATCAGCGTCTTACAATGAATAAAAGATTAATAAATTTAAAGAGAAGAAAGGTACTACAATACGTACGTCTTTCCCTTCCTGAGGTGCACTGTACGAGTGAAGGATAAGCACATGGATATTCGTAACGTTTAGCAGCAGGATTGAAATGAAGGCCATCTGGACACCAATGTTGGGTAGCTTTATTGTACTGCAATAGAAGATAGATACTTTAGGTTTTATAAGTCTTTTAGAATTTGTAGATAGAGGAAAACGAAAACATGAGCGATAAATAATCAGTTACCTTGCATTCAATGTAAGCATCACACTCGTTATCTACTGCGTAGTATCCATTTCCGTCCTTACAGACTAAGTCAAATTTCAAGGATCCAGGTTTCTCTGTTGAAGTAGTTATGATGACTGGAGGAGCTTTAGTCACACGCTGTGTTGAAACGGGAATCGGATATAGGGTAGTTGGTGGAGTTTGTCGACCAAAGATTGGTTCCCGTACTGGCTGTGGTTTAGGGAAAAGTGGTGGTAAAGCTACGGGCTTGAGAGCTACTGGCTTCGAAACTACTGTTGGAACTGAAAAACCACTCGATTCTGGTTTTGTATTTTGTAGGGGTGGTAGTGGTTGAGGTTCTGGCTCTGGCTCCGGTTCTGGCTCTGGCTCCGGTTCTGGCTCTGGCTCCGGTTTTGGCTCTGGCTCTGGCTCCGGCTGTGGTAGCGGTTCTGGCTCCGGTTCTGGATATGGTTCTGAAATCTCCTCCTCAGGTTCAATAGGCACTGGAGGAGCCTCAGTTGCGGGCGGTGAAGGGGCAAGTGGTGGGATAACTACAGGTCGTGCCACAACTGGTGGTAATTGGACTGCCGGTGGCTGATTACCCGTACCTAGTGGAGGAGAAACTACTGGTGGTGGTTGAGCGGTAGCAACTGCTGGTGGTTGAGTGGCAGCTGAAACGGGTGGTTGGGTGACAACGGCAACAGGTCTAACAGGACGCGGCCGACCTAGCGTCGGTAAAGGCCGTAGCCGACGTACGTTTGGGGTATAACCATCTTGAGCTATTACTGTAAAATGAAAGAAAACACTTGAATGCATTTTTAAAAGGAACATATAATATATTTTAGAAATAGGTTATGAACATAAAGATATAATAATTTAATATAAGAAGTTATAAAATAGCTAGTATAAGTACACTTACCACTTATTAACAAAGGAAGTAGAAACAGAAGCGTAAACCGATGCATGTTTAATGCTTTTTATTTCCCGAGGTGTTTGTGAATAGACAATATACACATCACTGTAACTATACAGACAAATTTCCAGCTTATAAGTGAATTTCCTTAATGTATTACCTATTTATTAACTTGTTTTCAAATGAATTGTTTGTTAATCATTTTGCAATTAGTAAATGAAAATTGATGATATACTTATTAATTTTTTAAGTTGTGGTTTGCTAACAGGTTGTTATTTTGTAATAAAGTAAACTTGCCTAAAATAAATGCTTTCTAATTACTCTACATGTTAACTAACGGTTGCCTGTAAGAAATTACATTTTAGCGATTAAGTGGTATCCCCATTTGTATATGGCCATTAATTTGATGTGCTCTTGTATGTATGTTTGTTGTACTAAACTGGTGTACAATATTTTTATTATATTGTGTACAATAAGAATGGTTATTCTATTATACTCTAACGGAGAGATTTGATGTTTAAAAATTTGAATTAAAGCCGTTCGCAAAGCTAAATTCCTTTCATTTTATAGAAACAACTGGTGCTAGGATGTATTACCATTATCATTATTTTATTAGAAACGCAGGGTTTTTTTTTATATTTTGAGTAAAATTTGTGATTTGCCCAGAAGTAGGACTAAATGATAAATTGTACTGTAAGTTGCTAATCAGCGTTTCATAAAGAACACAATCAATCGCAAAAAAATACCTAGGGAGTCATGAATACCGTTCCTTCCAGACATCAAATATGATACGTTTTACAAGCTCAATATTTTTTTTTCAAAGAAAAATCTAATCAACATAGACAGTTGTAAATAATTTGGCCTTTTAGTTTAGAGGTCGATCCTGACTACTGAGCCAGATGTGGGTTTCCCCACCCAGAACAAATATTATGTGATGGGCACGATCATTTGTTATGTGTTAGGGTACTTTATTTTTAAAATATGAAATATAGAAGAATGTAAGTATGTTTATCAGTAGAGTGATTACCATTTGCCAGGCTCTGCCTAGCTTGGGACGAGATGACCATGTGTAAAATGTGTTCCAAGTTCAGTTATGTAATTATGGATTACTCATTTATATTTTTTCGAATAATTTAATTTCTTTTAAAGTTCTATATCCCTATTGGTTGTAGCGAATTGGACTATCTGTCCTTATGTCAATAGACCTCACCGGAGTAGTTAGGCCCTGAAAGTGAGCTAGATCCTTATCTTTATACATACTCTACTATACCTATCAAAATCGAATATAACCGAAACTTAATCCGTTTAAAAATTCAAAGTTAATCTATTATTGTTTATAGAAATTATATGTAGGTATAATACGAGTATCAAGCGAATAGTTATTGAAGTAATATTTAATAGTTATTGAAGTATTTAGTAATGTGAGAAATTATACACTACCGATCATGTAATTTTATCAATTCTGACCTACTTTATCTATGAAAATGTTGATTTGTTTTGAGTGCGCTTCAAAAACTTGACAATTTCTGCACTGATTGAGCTCAAATTTTTAAATGATATACGAGTGCAACCCGCTTTAAAGATTGTTTTTATATAGTTTTTGCGTCAGTTGTGGTTCCGCATTTTTTTTATGTCAGAGGGGTCAGACTAGCAGACGGGTCACCTGATGGAAAGTAACCATCGTCGCCCAAGACCGTCTGCAACTCAGGAGTCACAAACGTGTTGCCGGTCTTTCAGGAAGGAGTACGCTCTTTTCTTGAAGGTTTGAAGCTCGTTTCGGTCCGGAAATAAGGCAGAAGATAACATGTTCCACAGACTGGTTATGCGAGGCAAAAAGTGCGGTATTGGTCCGAAGAGTTCTTTGGAGCACTCACCATGATACACGTGATAGAAAATGCAGAGTAAAGCCATATCTCTACGTAACGCCAAGGTATCGAGCCGATCGGAAATGTTTTGGCTATCTACGATTCGAGTTGCTCTTCGTTGGAGGCGGTTCAGAGGGAGAAGCTGGTACTGAGGTGCCCCTGCATAGAGATGATAACAGATTTCTATATGCGTCCGGACTTGCGCCTTATAGAGCTGAAGGCGGTGGGCCGGTGTGAAATACTGCCTCGATTTGTTTAGCACTCCGAGCTTTTTTGAGGCCAATTTGACCTCACCCTCTAAGTGACCTCGAAACTGGACTTGACTCGATATGTCGATGCTTAGGATACCGATACCGGCTAAGGCAGTTAGGGAGGTGCTCTCAAACTGAGGTGATACGACAAATGGTGTCTTTGCGGTGAACGCACAGACCTCTGATTTCTCATCAATGCAACCACAATGTGTTTCTAAATACTTATGTTACTAGCTGTATGCTACCACGATTTGCTGTCATACGTTGTGATTGTAGTGATAAGAAATGAAGAACAAAACTGACGCAAGGAATAGATTAAACAATCTTTAGGATATCAATATCAATAGGGTAAACAATTTAGAACGCGTTGTTATCATTGCAAAACATCCACATAGCGAAATTCGTGTTATGGTTTATGTACTCTTAGAAATAGAGTAGAAATTAATGGTTGATGGTTGGATGGTCTTGATGGTTTAATGCATCGCTGTGCCCAAGTGGATAACCTGTCTGTCGTAATATAGTCACACCAATTAGTTCTCTGAATGTGTCATAGCTTTTCTTGATAACTACAATGCGTTGTGGTTGTATAACATGACAACAACGGCATGTATCTTGCTACGAGGTATTTCTGTGGATGCCACAGCATGTTTAGAGCGTTTTCATTAGAACCGTAAAACGAATTTCGCAATTCGGATATTTGACAGTGACCACAACGAATTGAGAGGTTTTTTTGGCTCAACGAGCGTTTTTTTTTTTATTTACATCTTCCATTTCATTGTAATAAAAATATAGATTAAACTGCTGTATATAGTATAGTATACTGTATAGTAGTACTCATTGTACAACCACTTTATTGAACACGACATTCTAAAATATGAATGGTTCTCTATAAAAACTCTATAAACAGTCAACAGTCAACAGGGTGAAGTTAAAGGCCTGAATTTCCAGTAACCAATCAACGAAGGTTTTAATTTTATCCTGTTTTTTTAAAGTGTTTGCAAATCATTATCAAATTTCTATTCCCATTATATAGCAGACTGGAGAATTGGGTCCGAGTGGAGGTTGTCCTCCCGGGCCCTCTCCGCCGCCTCCTTATGCGAGATGACGTCTTCGCAGAAAGATGCGGACCGCGGACGAGCGTATAACGGCCGGTAGCGAGAGATCCCCCGATGACTGCAACGAGGACACGGTGCAGCGGCGCCCAAGCCGGACAAATTGCTATCCCAGTTGTGACAGGTGGACCTCAATTCCCTCCTAGCGGCCGAGTGCAGATACTTCGTGAAGCAGCCATGCCCAGAAAGGACCTGCGTCAGCAGGAAGGAAAGGGTCCCGTGCTGCCGCCGTGCCCTTTAGAAGATGACCCTCTGGAGAGCCTCCACGGCGTCAAAGCCAGCACGTGGAGCCTCCAGCCGGGACGATCAACGAGCCATGGTGGCTCCGCCAGCGGCCTTACGCCTCTCGAGTTTCTCTTCGGGTGGGGGCCAACTGCCACTATCCGTCCGGAACTCGTCCGGAACCATTGCGGTCCTCGTACATGACGGTACGCTAATCTAAATAGTCTGCCACTAGCCGCCTCAAGTACTCTGGCACCCCGTGGTAGTGGAGTGCTTCCCTGATGCAGGTGAATGGCAAACTATTGAATGCGTAGGCGATGTCCAACGATACCACCAACAGCACGCCTCCGAATTGGGTTATAAGATAACAGGACTGCCTTTAAATCGATATTAATATATGTTAATATATCGGTGTGCTCTATACACAATAGTTTTTTTAGGACAACTAGGGCACTTGGACTACCTATATCACCCGTCGCTGGGGACTTTACAAATACAAATGGGTAGCCTCGTCCTGAGTGGGACCGGGAGCGACCGGCCTCCCGTGTCCCCCTCATCCTTAATTCTGAGCGGGTGGCACATAAAGAGTGGTAACGCACTTCTATCTCATGAGTTGGGGAGGGAGAGGAGGGGGGGTATGAGTGATGATAGTCACTTATGATCCGATGACCGGTCTGCTCGTTTGCCCCCTATTACATAAAACAAATACATCTTTATAGTCTTGTAAACTGTTACTTCAATATTTTTAGAGTATTTAAGATAGGATCCTACTTTAAGTAAGTTTAATTCAAATCCAACTAGTGCTCAGTAGTTACGTATCAACATTATCACTTTAAGAGCAATTTCATCTAAATATAATATATGACGACCATTAAATAAATATACGAAACTGGCTTCTGTTGTTAGTAATTGTTTTTAAACGAGTTTTAAATATAAAACCTTTAAATTTCGATATCGTCCGTGTGGTGACGGATTAAGAGTACGGAGTGTCATCACCCTTATTCATACCGAGTGTGATGTAAGAGCCGACTAAGGGAGCAAACTCTGAACCAACCGAAAACCTCTTTTCTAAGCAGAGGCCTATGTCATGCAGTGGAATATTAGATTTATACAATTATTTCGTTGAACAGTATTATTTCGTTATACAGTACACAAGAATACTAGACAGGTCCCGAACTCCTGTTGGGGAATACACTAAGGTCAGATTGGTGAAACAGTTTCTATCTGAACATTTCGCCTGGCCTGTTAGTCTAGTGGTTAGTGACCCGGACCGCTACGCCAGAGGTCGTGGGTTCGATTCCCACCCAGAACAAATAATTGTGTGATGAGCACGGTCATTTGTTCTGCGTCTGGGTGTACTTTATCTATAATATGTATGTATTTAGAAATATATAAATGTATGTTTATATAGTTGTTATATATAATAATATATAATAATATATATAATTAATATATGTTATATATAGCAGTCTGGGTACCATAGTACAGGCTCTGCCTAGTTTGGGATCAGACCGCCGTGTGTGAGATGTGTGTGAAAAATATTATTTATTTAAATACGAGTATATCTATTTATTAATACAACTAGCCAGTTATATTAATAAACAGCTGCTAGTCAGGAGCACGCCACTCGATCATTTGAATTAAAATAAGCAGTCAGTTTATCCGTACTACATATTTTTTCTTTTCTTTGTATCTGTTCTAATGACAACAATCGACTCGTCACAGTCACAATCTCGAAATCTTTCACATCATCACATCAACAGCCTTTAATAGTCCACTACTGGACATAGGGCTCTAATCAGAAAGGAGGTTTTCTTCTCCCTGCAGTGAAGTTGTCCTGCGTAGTTTGCTCCCTTAGTCGCCTTTACGACACCCACGGGATGAATAGGAGTGGTGACACTCTGTATTTTTTATTCGTCACCACACGATAAATTGTGATCACACAGTGATCTTTATTGGGTTAGTATTAAGTAGGTACCTATTATGTATTGATATGAATAGATATTACTGCAATAACAACCAAAATTCATTAAAAAAAAAACATGAATTCAATTTTGATAGAGACATTTTATTCGAACCCGATCGATGTCGAGGTGTTCGTCCTTCAACAAAATATGTAAAACTAGATTAAGTATGTACTCGTAGTTGATTGCATAAATAATGATGTAAATAAATTACTCAAATAATAAACCAAATTGTTCAAATTACAGCCCATCGAGGCGTATTTTGAACAATGAGATATGAAAGTAATAATATTTTGGGTTGCTCCAACTGGAAAAAAGGAATTTTCAAAGACAGACACAGAAATATCCAAAAGAAAAAAATACCATAATACGATAGTCAAAAAATATTCGTACTTTTTTCTCCTTTTTTTGAGTGATTCCTGAATCTTACCGAGGCAAAAAGAATATTTTACTAGTTATTTTCATTCATGTTCACCGAGTAAGTGAGGTGACCGTAGGCTCAAACCCCTCTTCAAATACATAGCATATGACAATACTAATTGTAGGTAATGCGTTTTCTTTTCAACGTTAGATGAGAATAACTTATATATTACGTACACATTATATATAAATATCAAACAAGTTTTTTAATAACCATAATGATTGACAATTATTTATATATTAAAGATTGTACCACTAATCGACATTCTTTACTGAATATTATGACATAAGTTAGTATAAAATGTAATAAGGAATGAACTCTAAAATCATTTCTAGGTGATCGTTCTTAGGAAACATTAGTACATCAAAAAAATGGCTTTCTATCTATACGTTGTTTTGGCTTTCGTAGCCGCATGTAAGTAAATATGTATTTTAAAGATTTAGTGTTCCATAGGATACAGCAATTGAATACATTTGAAAAAAATGTTTAGAATGTCTCCTTTAAAGCTGGTAATTTTAACATGGCAGTGGGATTTCTCATATTTATTATTTAGTTACTGTTTTATATTGCGTTAACATTTGTTTTTAATGTGTCTTAAATATATACATGGCAATTTATTTAGCATTATTAATATTAAAGAAAAAATTGATATTAAAAAAGCTATTATTTTTTGTGACAGGTTACGCTGAAGCAGCCAGCAACGTAGCATCTCCAAGCTTTGTGTGCAAAAGTAATAATGCTTACTACAAAATAGACGCCAGCTGCGATTCATATATACAGTGCAATGTAAGTACACATTTATATCAAAGAGTACAGTAACCAAAATTTAGAAAAAGTTACATTTGCAATATTTAGCAGAAGACAAATAATATAATGGGAAATATTTCTCAGTCTGTTCAACACAGTTGTCGACAACTGTGTTGAACAGACTGAGAAATATTTCCCATATCAAGACCAGATACAGGGTATAATACAATACTATTTAAATGTACATACATAATAATTCATGTGGGATTTAATATCCAGGGCTACGTTCCTACCACGTTGACATGTCCCGATGGCCTTCACTACAACCCCGACGTCAAATGGCCTAACTACCCTTGCGGATACCCTATGGACGTCCCTTGTTTGGGACGTGCAACTCGTAAGTACAATACCTATTACAATATGATATTATTCATATTCATTTTAAATAAAGACCAAATATTTGGAAATTTTCCTGTGTAAACCACTCTATACTCATGCTAACATTGTTATTTTACAACAAACAGAGCCCGCGCAATCTACTCCTGATTGCCCCCACAAATATGGCTACTTCCAATCACCCATCGCCTCCTCAGAGGATTGTGGTCATTTCCGCCTGTGTGTTGACGGTCATCCCATGGAAATGGAGTGCCCCTCAGGCCTCGCGTTCAACCCTTCCAGCGGTCGTTGTGACTGGCCCGATCAAGTGCCTTCTTGCAAAGCTAACGGTAAGTACCTTGAGTAATTTTGTAGGTTTACTTTGAGAAAGACATACACCAGTGCATAAATTTATATTGTATTGCTCATGTCATGATCTATATGAACGTTGATTGATTGTGTATTAATAAGGGCTAGGTAATCTGTTAAATGAATGTAATGTTTTTTTTTTTATTTCAGATTTCCTTGGATTCTCCTGCCCACCTGCTCCTCTTGGTGAAAACGGCGAGCTCCTTGATGTCATCTATAATTTCAAGTAAGTGTTATTTATCTTAAATTGCCTATTTTGATTTTATTCCTAGTAACTTTTGGATCTCCTTGACAATATTTTGTTTGTGTCATGATGTTGGCAGTATCCTTGAAAATAACTCCAACTTTAAATCTTTCTTTGTTTTCAGGCATCCTGACAGCTGCTTCTACTTCTTCTCTTGCCAGCAAGGTCGCGCACGTTTGCTGTCATGTGATCCCGGTTTGGCATTCGACGCTGCTTCAAGCCGTTGCGTAGATGAAGATTTAGTTCATTGTTCACACCAATGAGTTCTAATCTAATGACAAAATATTGTCACTCAATTATTGAAATTCTAATTTATAATAAACATTATTATTAGTATATTTTACATGTCTGTTTATAATTAATATCCCAATAAAACATTGAAAACGCTTATGAACAATATCTAAAGCGAAATTAAAAAAAAAACAGATCATAAAATAACGTAGTACAATATAATTGAATTGAATTGAATTCAATTTCAATAAAGTAATTAATTAATTTATTAATAGTAGGTTGACCTGGATAAATTGAAATGTTTGCCACTTAAGGCATTTAACGAGACTCATCAACTTGTTCAGGGATGAACAGTATCAATACAGTTCATCCCTTTTTTTTTCTGTGCGCAAATCCCCTCGGATACCACTTATCGGTGGCAATGTCGGACTCGAACCGACTAAAACCGCACGCCGTCTCAGGTACCAGTAGTCGGGGAACCAGGTGTACCCTAGAAAGGATATCCCTGGTGCCCCGACGTACCTCGGGCCATCTACGGCGGGTAGACGACCCCCCCTGTGTGGGAACCCCAATGTTCCCTCTGTGCTACCGGAAGGGCGCGCGAGCTTCATATCGCGCTCGCCGTCACCCCGGCCTGCTTCTGCTCGGGTGACAGATGGCCTCACCTGTCACCCCCAGGCCGGCGCTATGGAGGACGGAGGTCGTTCTGCGACCTCTGGCGCCTGAGTCGTCTGCGGTACCTGGCCCGTTACCGAGCCTGGCGGGCCTGGAGAGTTCTAAACCTCTCCCGGCCCGCCATCTAATTCGCAAGCATAACTTGCTCGCAGCAGGAGACGGCAGAGTTTCACGCACTCTCGCTTCGCACGATAGCCGCAATAAGGTTATCGAGCGAGAGAACTCCCACTCCGATGGCAGCCACGAGGTCTCGCCTCTGCTCTACCCACGCCGGGCATTCTACCAGCGTGTGGAGCGCCGTGTCCACGGTCCGACCATCGCAGTGGTGGCACTCAGGCGTTGGCTCCTTGCGGATCAGACACAGGTGATCCCCGAAACTTCCTTTCCCAGTGATCACCTGCGTCAGTGGTATGAGAGGGTCCCGTGATGCCTCTCGAGCCAATCCTCCATAACGGGTTACCGCCGCGATGACGGCATGCTCGGCGCTCGGTTGCCCAAGTTGTTCCCTCCACTCCCCTACGAGGACCTGGCGGAGCTGGGATTTCCGGTCATCGATTTCTCGAGTCTCAGGACTCCGACCCAACTCCCGCGCCTAATTGCGCCACTTATTCAGAGCCGCAAGGGCTCTCGCCTCCAGGTCCCACGGTGGAGTTCCGGCCAGGAGACTCGCTGCCTCAAAGGAGATCGTGCGGTACCCCCTTATGATCCAGATGGCCATCACTCGATGCGGTCGTCGCAGTAGTGCGACGTTGCTGGCCTTCAGGGGCCCGGCCATAAATACAGTTAATCCCTAAAACAAGCAATAATCTTATGTATGTATGTATGTACTGTTTCCTTATGTTTAAAAAATGATAAACTGGCCACATCCTGTTGTCCTGCGTAGTTTGCTAACTTAGTCCCTCCCTCCCTTACTCTTACGACACCCACGATGAATAGGGGTGGAGACACTCCGTATTCTTAATCCGTCACCAAAAGGATTCGTTCTTACTCCTTATTACTTTACTATTAGTACAGGCTGAAAAATAATAATAGGAGTTTGTAGTGTGAGAAAATACAAAGAAAATGAGAGTTGCTTAAGTCAGTTTCGTAAGAAACTTTAAGCGTAAACACGCTTTTATCTCGAAAAGAATCGCGAATTTTCGCCCTTCATTTTCTTAGTTTGTGTGACTCTTAGGAAATCCGTTCGGGCCATCAATTATAGCTTTTAATACCGTTTTTTTGTAAACAAATTTCGTCAAAAAACAATGTCCTTAAACATTCTATAAGAGCCGAATAAAAGAAATTACCATTATATGACAGATAAAAAATATTCGTACTTATTTCTCCTTTTTTTAATTGATTCCTGAATCTCAGGCAAAAAGAATATTTCACTAGTTAGTTTGATTAATGTTTTGTACACACGGTTATTTGCACGATACCTATGCCTAAAAACAAGTTCAAATATTTTTATCTGTCTGTCTGTCGGTCTGTCGGTCTGTCTGTCTGTCCGTCTGTTTGTTTGTTCCGGGTAAGCTTCAAAACGGCTGGATCGATATTGATAATATTTTGCTCCCAGCTATCTGTCTACATTAGGAGTAGTTTATGCTATTTTCCCACTCAAAAGAAACTTATAAAATTTTGCCCGATCTGGGCCTCATGGAGTGCAGTCGCGTACCGTACTACACCACTAATACTGCACGGATGGCATAGTTGTTTAAGCGGCCCACGCCGCTTCCTACCTTCCTGAGTATTGTGGGTTCAAACCCCACATGGGACGACACTTTGTGTGATTCACAAATTTGTTGTTCCGAGTCTGGGTGTTCTTTGTGACCGTTTTATGTATGTTTGTAAAGTCCCCGGCGACACAGGATATATTCCTAATGCGGGAGTTGTCTTTTTTAAAAAGAATTAAAAAAAAACGAATGCAGCGCTTTTTCAATTCGAAGTCGAAATATATATATAAAAAAAGAGAGCTGTGTTCGGCATATGTTGGACGGCTTAATCGCAGTGATACCACGTCTTCACAGAAAACCGGTGTTGAGCAATCCCTTCGTTGCATTTCACCGAGTCAGTGAGGTGACCGTAGGCTCAAATTCCTCTTCAAATACATAGCATATGACAATACTATTTGTAGGTAATGCACTTTCTTTTCAAAATTAGATGAGAATACCTTATATTCACCTTATAGTTCACCGACTCATGTTAACAATGGTGTTCTAATTCGGCAATTATATTATTGTATTTATTTTGTTCTAAATTTGCATTTCTGTATTTTCGTACTAATATTTTTATTTTTTATTTTAACCGACGTATATTGAACCGTGTTATCTGTTATATCATTTTTCTGTGATTAGCTTCATCACATATTGTATATTATGTATAAATATTAAACAAGTTTTTTAATAACTATAATGATTGACCATTATTTATATATTAAAGATTGTACCACTAATCGATATTAATTACTGGATATTATGACATAAGTTAGTATAAAATGTAACAAGGAATGAACTCTAAAATCATTTCTAGGTGATCGTTCTTAGGAAACATTAGTATTTCAAAAAAATGGCTTTCTATCTATACGTTGTTTTGGCTTTCGTAGCCGCATGTAAGTAAATATGTATTTCAAATATTTAATGTTCCATAGGATACGGAAATTGAATACATTGAAAAAAAATGTTTAGAATGTCTTCTTTAAAGCTGGTAATTTTAACATGACAGTGGGATTTCTCATATTTATTATTTAGTTACTGTTTTATATTGCGTTAACATTTGTTTTTACAGTGTCTTAAATATTTACATGGCAATTTATTTAGTATTATTAATATTAAAGAAAAATTTGATGTTAAAAAAATCTAAAAATACTTTTGTTTATGACTTTTGACAAATTTGCAGCATTGTTTTATTAAGTACTATTTTTTGTGACAGGTTACGCTGAAGCAGCCAGTAACGTAGCATCAAGCTTTGTGTGCAAAAGTAATAATGCTTACTACAAAATAGACGCCAGCTGCGATTCATACATACAATGCAATGTAAGTACACATTTATATCAAAGAGTACAGTAACCAAAATTTAGAAAAAGTTATGTTGGCATTATTTAGCATAAGACAAATATTCGACAACTGGGTTGAACAAACAGAGAAATATTTCTCATATCCAGACCTGATTTAGGGTATAATAGAATACTATTTAAATGTACATACATAATAATTCATGTGGGATTTAATATTCAGGGCTACGTTCCTACCACGTTGACATGTCCTGATGGCCTTCACTACAACCCCGACGTCAAATGGCCTAACTACCCTTGCGGATACCCTATGGACGTCCCTTGTTTGGGACGTGCAACTCGTAAGTACCATACCTATTATAATATGATAATATTCATATTCATTTTAAATAAGGACCAAATATTTCGAAATTTTCCTGTGTAAACCACTATATACTCATACTAACATTGTTATTTTACAACAAACAGAACCCGCGCAATCTACTCCTGATTGCCCCCACAAATATGGCTACTTCCAATCACCCATCGCCTCCTCAGAGGATTGTGGTCATTTCCGCCTGTGTGTTGACGGTCATCCCATGGAAATGGAGTGCCCCTCAGGCCTCGCGTTCAACCCTTCCAGCGGTCGTTGTGACTGGCCCGATCAAGTGCCTTCTTGCAAAGCTAACGGTAAGTACCTTGAGTAATTTTGTAGGTTTACTTTGAGAAAGAGATACACCAGTGCATAAATTCATATTGTATTGTCATGCTCTACATGAACGTTGATTGATTGTGTATTAATAAGGGCTAGGTAATCTGTTAAATGAATGTAATGTTTTTTTTTTTATTTCAGATTTCCTTGGATTCTCCTGCCCACCTGCTCCTCTTGGTGAAAACGGCGAGCTCCTTGATGTCATCTATAATTTCAAGTAAGTGTTATTTATCTTAAATTGCCTATTTTGATTTTATTCCTAGTAACTTTGGATCTCCTTGACAATATTTTGTTTGTGTCATGATGTTGGCAGTATCCTTGAAAATATTTCCAACTTTAAATCTTTCTTTGTTTTCAGGCATCCTGACAGCTGCTTCTACTTCTTCTCTTGCCAGCAAGGCCGCGCACGTTTGCTGTCATGTGATCCCGGTTTGGCATTCGACGCTGCTTCAAGCCGTTGCGTGGATGAAGATTTAGTTCATTGTTCACACCAATGATTTCTAATCTAATGACAAAATATTGTCACTCAATCATTGAAATTCTGATTAATAATAAACATTATTATTGGTAAATTTTACATGTCTGTTTTTAATTAATATCCCAATGAAACATTAAAACACTTATGAACAAAACCTAAATCGAAATTTAAAAAATATCATAAAATAATGTAGTACTTACAATATAATTGAATTGAATTGAATTCAATTTCAATAAAGTAATTACTTCATTTATTAATATTAGCTTGACCTGGATAAATTGATATGTTTGCCACTTAAGGCATTTAACGACGACCCATTAACTTGTTACATATTTTACTGTCTGTGTGACTCAAAGACAGTAAAAGCCCGCTATAACAGTATCAATACAGTTCATCCCTAAAACAAGCAATAATCCCATGATAATGTAAACTGGAAATTCTCGCATTTTGGTACTTATTCCTTCTGTTTAAAAAATGATAAACTGGAGACATCTATTTCAATATTTGCTAGAACTACTTTGTTCTTACTACATCACACACATCACTCAACAGTCTTTAATAGTCGAATACCAGACACCGGCCCTCTTTAAAAAAGAGGTTTTTGGCCTAGTATACCACGCTGGCCAGACGGGTTGACATATGGTTTGTATCAAGTTTTTCTTCTCTTTGCAGTGCTGTTGTCCTGCGTAGTTTGGTCCCTTAGTCGGCTCTTACGACACCCACGATGAATAGGGGTGGAGACACTCCGTATTCTTATCCGCCACCACACGGATTTGTTCTTACTTCTTATTACTTTACTATTAGTACAGACTGAAAAACAAAAAAAATTGTAAATCTCTCAGACGCATGACAGAGACGTGGAAACATAAAGAATATGACACAGAGAGAGTTCCCCCACACCACCGCCATGCGCCTTCTGCTGCCTACTAGGAACGCTCGACGAAATATCACTGGATTTTATGTAAGAATATTTACACGGTGAATACTCGGTATAATATTGTTTTCGTCTGACCTTTGAGAATCTCTGTTTCGATTATATTTTTTATTTATTAGCTGGTAGCTAGAATACATACTTATACATTCTACAATTACTGAGTGATTAAAAAGAATTGGTATTTTGTATTTTCTTCCTTTTACTAGGGTTTCAGGTATACTACAGCACTTCTTTTTCAAGCCTATGCTCGATTAGTTCATTAATAGGTTTTCTCCCAGGAACGTTGGGTGTGTGTCAGGAGAGGTTCAAAATAAAATTCTCAGCTGAAAATACTTATCATACCCAAAACATTTTCATGTAAGTAGTTTTGGTAGCTCGCGTTGTCAAAAGGTTATCAAATCACATGTAGAGTCAAGCTTCTAACTCTACACGCCTTAATACTTCAAGCTCTAATTGTACATGAAAATGTTTTTGGTGGGTGTTTTTGGGTTCACTTCTTTTTGTAAGTTGCTTAAACTTCTAGCATCAAAATTTGGGAAAGTCTCATACAAACTTTCTTTAGTTTAAGGGGGAGGGGGGGTGTCGTATGATTTTGATTGAATTTTAATTATCTGGTATACCGAAGTCCAAGTTATGAGAGTTCAAAAAAATGTTGGTTATCGCGGTAAAAAGTAGCCAAAAGTTTATCTAAATTGGTTCTGCGGTTATTGATTCCCGATACAAACTGCCACCCTCCTTTTCGCACCCTTAAAGGCTGATTTCTGGAATAACACTGTCCTATAGCCTTTCCCGGGACTGAAACTATCTCTATTTTGTTCACAACTCGTGTACATTTAAAATCATTAAATAAATTCTGTGAACTTTCTTGCATGCCTAATAGAGGAAATACCTGTGAACTCAAATTATACACACAAAACCGAATTACCGCCCACAAAACCGAATTCTCTGTCCGGGTTGCCGCATGTTAAAAAACGTGTCGTTCTGATTCAGATGAGCGCTTAAAATGGGTCGAATCGTCGACATGTAAGCCCGCCCATTGTCCTGAGATTACTTGTCACTCTTCACCACTTTTATTGCGTATTTGTAATAATATTTAATATCCTATTTTACCACATTCGAGGTTTTCATGACTTTTTAAAAGTAAAAAAAAAAGTAAAGTAAAAAGTAGTGTGTGTACACTACTTTTTACTTTCAGTATCTATTGTAGTATATGGGATTTAACATTTTTTTAAATGTCGGGAATGAGTTTCTTATTTACATTTAATTTAATTTCTATTCAAAATGCTACTAACTTGAAAATAAAATACAAATAATTTGGAATCTGACACATGCCCTTAGAGGTGGTCTAGTGTTATAAAGGCGTAAAATATTTTAAAAGTGTTCAAGTTCTCTACTTAATAAGTAGAGAACGTGGTTGGTGGAATCTCTACCTAATATACACCATATATAACCTAAGTTTTGACTATTTACAAGCGAGTTATGAAAAGTATCTAGTAACAACGTATGAACTTTCACAATTTCTTTATTGAAAATACGGTTAAATTAAAATTATAAGCGTAAACTTTCTAAGAAATTCCGATTCAATCAATACTGGGTACAGTTAACTAATTCTTCGTCAACGCAGCGTCCTGAGGCGGAATCGAACGCCGCGCCGTCGTCACATGACAATAGACGTACGTTGCCGTGCTGGCAGGAGAAGAAGTAGAAGCAGTTGCCGGGGTATCTGCAGAAGAATATACGATTATCTTAAAAAGGTTTTTAGGAATTCTTAAGAAAATAACAAATAAAAGATAGAATAAAAGAAAGGTGGTGACTGTGAATGTAAGAAAAGGTGAACAAAATTAAATGTGAGTGTCAACTTACTTGAAATTTTCGACTCTGTCATCATTATCATCAACAGCGGGACAGGAGAATCCAAGGTAGGCTGCAACGAGAAAAGATATTAAAAAACTTAGTTTTGACTACTGTAATGGTTATAATAGTGTATATACATATATTATAGTGTAATAGTTACAATAGTTTAATAGTAACTCTGAAATCAGAACTTGTTTTATATTACTGAAAGAGAGATTACATTTTTATAGTCCGGGAGATTTCAAATAATACTCTACACGTTTTCGAAAGCAACTGCGAAATGGTGGAACCCATTTTCTTGAACGTGTTAAGTTTGAATTGGGTAATTACTTGAGAAGCAATCAATTTGATGTTTGTAGTTGTAGCTACTTAACCGACTTTCCATAAAAGATGGACATTTCAGCAGATATTGACGGGCCTGTTGGTCTAGTAGTTGGGTTCGATTCCCACCCAGGACAAATATTTGTGTGATGGGCACGATCGTTTGTTCTGTGTCTGGGTGTAATTTATCTATAATATGTATGTATTTATAAATATATAAGTATGTTTATCAGCGGTCTGGTTACCATAGTACAGGCTCTGCCTAGTTTGGAATCAGAGAGCCGTGTGTGTGATGTGTGAGGTTATTATTATTATTATTATATTCACTTAAGTGTTACAGCAAATCCCATTGTATGAGGATCCGAGAAAAGAATTTAAGATTATAGTGTAAGGACCCCGTGACACTGATTTCCAAAACGAGGAACTCTGATAATATGTAATTACTGACTAAATTACTTACATTAAGATGCTTACTACGAGTTAAGCCTATTGTATACTTACCACTAGCCTTGCAAGAAGGAACAAGAGAGGGCCAATCACAACGACTGGTGTCAGGATTAAAGGCGAGGCCTGTGGGGCAGTCCAAGTCCACGGCGCGGCCCTCAATGCAAATGCGGAAGTGCCCGCAGTTGTCAGGTGTAGCAGAAGGTGATGGGAAGTAGCCGTATTGGTGAGGGCATTCCTCGGTGGGTTGTGCTGGTTCTATATAAAAGAATGAGTATGTGTTTTAGTATTCTTCAATCGTATTTATGAAATTATGAATTTAAATTGTAAATGCTATGTGATTAGTGATGTACTTACGAACTGCACCGCGTCTTAAGCAGGGTACATCCGCCGGGTATCCACAAGGGTAGTTCGGGTACCTGACGTCCGGATTGAAGTGCAGACCATCGGGGCATAACTGGTAAACTGCTACGTAGTCCTGAATATAAGGTTTTAATGTAAGAATTGTTGTAAATTTATTGCAGAACTCAGAAGAGATACTTCTATATTCAACATAAATTAAAATTGAGTTAAGATTGGTTCTTTTCTACTTAAAATAGTTCAAACAGTTTTCCTGCCATCCTTTAAAAAAAAAATATGGCCACTTATGTGAACTTACGCTGCACCGTATGTAAGAATCGCAGCTTCCTTCCACATTATAATAACTATTCTTGCTTTTGCATACGTAACTCGGAGAGTTACCAGTTGCTACGATGCTCTCTGGACCAGCGTGACCTGTGTTTTGAAATTTATTTATTATATAAGCAAATTAGAACCTCAATGGTTGCACATGTAAAGTTGCTACAATGATAAACCACATTTCTATAATGGAGTAAAGAGTAAAAGTCAATTTAGAATAAAATGAATGACTAATATATATATTTTAAAATAAAATATATAAATAGCAGGTGATTTTGTTTACAGGTGAAAGATTCCGAAACCAGCAAGAATTAAGAAATTTACAAAAGCAATGCATTAGTTTTACAAATTTTAGGAATAACTTCATTTACAAAAGCATATTATATACTTACTTGTGGCTACAAGCGCTAGTGCAATAACAAATAAGAGAGCCATTTTTAGATTTGGGATGTTTCCTACAATGTGAACAAATTCTAAATAATGTCTTAACCCAGGTTTCCTATCTTTTTATACTTAAACATTGCCAATTTTTTTTATTAACTAATGAGATATAATTAGGAGAAATTAATTAGATTCATACATTTCACAGAAATGTGTGAAATGTTTGATAGAAATCGTTTTTTATCATTAATAAATTTTCAGTTTAAATTTTTATTTACATGTTTCTTGTTCTGCTTATTGTTTTCAATGTTATTAGTTTTTGTACATTATATTTCATTTGAATACAAATACTCGTATTATTCACTTGGTTTCCAACGTGTTCTTAATTTAACTTTTAGTGGCGATCAAGTGTATGTATTGTGTCGAATGTATTTGAATTAAAACTATATGTAATTCTTTTATATTTTTCTAGATTATGAGTTTATTCTAATATTTGTGTATAAAATTAAATATACAAATGACAGTGTTTACAATTGTTGATGAATATTTAAGATCTATTTTCAAAGTGCTTATTTTATGCTTGAAGATATCTGTATTCAAATTCTGAGTACATTAGATGTGTAATACATACCTAAGCGATTAAATTTCACTTAGCGCTTTATATAGTGAAATGTGTTTTAAAAAGAATTCGATGAAATCTCCTATAATACAGCCAAGGTAGGTACATATTTATATTAGTAGAGGTTTATATCTGTATAATTATTAGATAGATATAAATTTTAATTAAAAAAGAAGAAATGATCAAAATTATTTTCAAAAAAGCCATGTCATTGGTGCTAAACAACTGGATGGGAACGGGTTTTGAATCTGTTATCATTCTATTTCATTTTCAAGTTAAGGAAAGTTTTTATTACGTATTTTTCCTCATTTTTTTGTGGCATTCAACCGGCCCTACCAAAAATCCTAATAAGGTGTCACATCGTTAATAAAATTAGCAAACAACTCTGTGTCATCGATGTGGAATAGATGGATAAACTTAAGTAATTATATCAATTATATTCTATTATATAATCATCGATTAAGTTAAGTAAAAGCTAATTACACTAAAGACAATTAAAGTTTGATAAGACAGGTTGATGAGATACTTAGCATTATTTCATATTTACCATGTTACTTTACACGAACATGTTACTTTCCCGTTTCTGCAAACCTAACAAGTAAATTTTTTTTTTTTTTCATTTTATAAAGACAAAAGATCAGGTGGTTAAAATCACTACAACTTAGCATTATTTTCAGTTATCTTTCATTCATCCCTGTTGCAGTATTTATACTTTTGAACTACTACCTCAGTTGTGTTGCCTGACAAATTTCATTTTCATAGGTAAAATGAGTTTCGTTATTAGTCAGTGAGTGAGAAAATGAGAAAGATATTCATAATTATTGCAACATTGCATGTAATTTAAATTTATATGACAAAGTAATACGCATTGAATAGGTGCATATTTAGATACATATTTTATGAAAATTTACCCTTCCTGCAAATACAATGCATAAGGCGGACTTAATGCCATAATGTTTGACAGAAATTATTACCATTTTAATTCTTGATCTATTTATCTGTATTATGCGCATGTTATAATGTGCTCAATATAACAATTTGGTTGAGCTTAGGCAAATTTTTAACAGGTCTTTGACGTATTAAATTTACACCAGTAGCCTCTTTTGTTACAACTTGGATTAGGAAATAGGAACGTGTTTATCTTTGGGCTTAATTTAAATAAATTAGGAGGGGAAGGAATTATTTTTAAGCAACCTTTTAAACTTGGATTTTAGTATTCCTGCGGATCAATGTTTTTTTTACTATTCTTTTTTCATTTTATATAAATTCCGGTCCCCCAAACAATTCAGTATAATTTCAATATAATTAATCCATAAAACGATATGTTCCGTAGAAATTTGATGACGATAACCAAATATTTTGGTGCTTTAATTTTGCATCTCATATACCATTTTATTTTTATTTTTTCTTAAATTAACTTATTCTTTTCTATCTCTTTCAGCTCTCATAGGTTGATAAGAATGAGATTGTACGTACTTAATTATAACCGAGGGTGGGGCACTGGTGACCTGTAACTCAGGTTTTCATTTAAAAACCTACATCGGGGGCCAGTCTCACACATGGGTGAAATTTAAGATAACAAAGATTATGTATTTAATTATAAGACCTTTACCTATTGTAAAGAGAAAATAAATAAATTAATAAAAAAAAATTGTGTTTTGTTTCGCTAAAATTTCAAAAAAGTAAGGGGTGGAAGGGGGCCACACGGGTCATCACCTCACCGGGGCTGACGGTGAGGTCAGTCTATTGCAAGAAACTCGGGTATAACCTGGGAAGACTCCGAGAAATGTGTTGTACTTTTTGCATAAATATATTTATACAAAAAAAAACTGTAGGTACGTTTGTTACTTGGTAATCCATGGTAATATGTCCTCGAAAATTTTAATATCACATGTTATATTTTATTTATTGAGATTAAACTGGAGTATCATTTACTAAATAAATAAATAAACTCTTCAATCTTCAATACTGGGCACAGTTAACCAAGTCTTCCTTAACGCAACGTCCTGAGGCGGAGTCGAACGCCGCGCCCTCATCACGTGACAATAGAGCCGTGCTGGTAGGCGTAGAAGTAGACGTAGTTTCTGGAGTTTTTATAGAAGTACATACAAATACATGTTGATTCAGTTTAGACGCTACACTAAGAAGTCAATCACAAATGTGTCTCTGCATGTGCAAATATTCATAAAGCGTTGTATTTTTATGATACACATACACATATATATGTAAATATATATATTATTTGAGATGTTTATTTCGAGCAGTGTCAGATTTGCAGTCTTGGCCGCCCTAGGCCCCTGTCCATGCAGTAAGTACTAGCCGCCCCTTTCGCAGCACCCATATAGACTATTTAAATTAAAAGTAAAAAACCTTTTTAAAACACAAGCTTTTATTTAAATACTCAACATAGTTTTATAAATAAATACATTGCAAGTTAAATAAAAGGTTGTAATAATGAATTTACTTTATTGGCAAATTTTATTAAAACCAATTTCAGGTTTCAGAGATAATTGCATGTTTAAATAAAATGTTGTCATAAGTTTTCCCTTTTTTCTGTTTGGAAATCCCCTCGCATACCACCCACTGGTGGTTATATCGAACTCGAACCGATTAGTGACCACACGCCGTCTGGCGTGTCAGTAGCTAGAGAACCAGGGGTACTGTCACCCCTGCCACCCCCCGGGCCTGCGCTTATGGAGAACGGAGGTCGTTCTACGACCTCTAGCGCCTCAGTCGTCTGCGTTTACGGGCCAGACGGATCGGGAGAGGTTTAGAACTCTCGCGCCGCACGCTTTATTGATTTGAATAGTTAATATTTCCATTACAATTGTTTTCAAATGTTGTTTCGCTTAAGCAGAATGAATTCTTCGCATGTTGTTTATCCAGAGATAACGCGTATATCCTTTGCCTGGATTCACATCACATCACGTTACACGTGTAATGTGTTTGATTAACAACGGATCAAACTCAGCGCTACGCTATAAGGACACAAATAATGTTCATATGCAGGACAGATAATAATCTGGAAGCTGGCTGATTTTGTGCGGGCAAGTGTTTTTAAGGCTCGATGGTATCACAATGATTTTCCTCAATCACTTTACATGTACAAAATAACTTATACGTACTTTGTATTCTATTGTACATCACCTTATACATATATTATGTAGAATACTTATATTTTACACATAATAAGATGCCGTGCAGCGTGTTCCGCCATAATGTGCGCTATTTTTGGATTAATTAGGTACTTTAAGTTTGTCACGATCAGCCGTACCTAATACCTGGCTGCCATAGGCCCGGGCCTACTGGGCCTTAGGGGAAATCCGCCACTCATTTCGAGTGTTTTACGAGTATATATGAGTACATACAAATGCATGCATTTTTTTAAATATTTCAGAATCTCATTTATATTTTTTTTTAATGCTTCTGTCGATAACATGGTTATTTCTTCAGCAACGAAAACCCAATCATTTAAAAAAAAAATGATTGGGATTTCGTTGGTTTAATAAAAAAGCACTCAAGTATGACGATTTATGATATGACGATCATAATTATATCTCATTAAATAAAGAAAAAATAATGAAAGTTTATTATGATTATTAAATTGAACCAGGTCATGTAATATTAAATGTGATGGTAATTAATAATTGCCCTAATCAAGCAATACTTGATAGTTAGTTACTAACATTTCTGGTATTCTTCTACTTGATGCTTTTATAATATAACAACAATAAAATATTTTACCACATTCACACAACGCCATCTAGTCCCAAACCAAGTAGAGCTTGTACTGTAGGTACTAGACAACTAATATAAATTCAAATTTACTTGTTTTTTGTAAATACATAGGTACATATAATACCCACGCCAAGTCGAACATTAAATTTTCATACACACAAATGTTTGACTTTGCATAGCACTGCGTTCCACAAACCACTACGCCATTCAGTCGTCAATAAAAATATATATATTGAAACTTCAATATATTTTTGAAGGAAGCTTTATTATTCAGGAACACATGGCTTATGCTAACATTCATCTATGTATGGCCTAAATCGTAATATTCTTCATCTAGAAAGTACTTGCCCACAATGTATAAGGTGGTAGACTAGTTTCTTTTATGACCCAATTTTCTGACGCCTCGAAGAAAGAAGGTAAATTGGAGTAAGAAAATCGGATAGGGTGAGGAAGCTAGGGTAATTGTTACGAGAAGTCTAAGGGCCTCTAAGGAGAAACCTAAAAGAAAAATGTCCCTCCATGTGGCAATAAAATTAGTTTTTTAATCATAAATATACAAGAACCATTATCCGATCACCAATCATACTAGATTAGGATGACCGTTAAACAATATATTTTGTGTAAGTATGTAAATGTGAGTGTAGTGAAGGCTTGTAATGTTAATTGATATTTTAGTATCTTTCTGGTGGTTTTGAGTGTTTCAAATATCCTGCTGGCGGTAGTGTCATGCTTCGGGTCGTTGAAATTTACCAATATCGGCTCGGCTACACAATGGCTGGAGCCTGTATGCCGTCTGTATGGACAGGCTGACTCAAAACTATGGTCCTTTCCTCAAAAGGCCTACCCAGACCCTATACTGTACTCGCACAGTTTTATTTAGGTAACTTTCTTTACGGACTTAACAAAAAAAGACACCTCTGTGGTTTGTTTCGGCGTTTCTTCACAGAGTGAGTCTTAGGAAATGCCGGCTCCTTCGAGATATAAAGTCCGACTTGTAAAAATATCTGAAAAGATTTACTTACATCCTTCTTTCTTCTGGTGTAATGATAGATAGATACCTAATTATATATCATTTTTACCTGACTGCGCCAGTAGGGTTATGTTTATCGTGTGCATGGCTTCTTTGGTGAGTGATTGATGGTGGCAGCACGCTTAAAGATTCGTAGTGCCTACATAAATAATTATAGAAGTTCTGTTTACTACACGATTTTTTTATTTTAGAGGGGGCAGACGAGCAGACGGGTCATGAACGTTCTTTTAAAAAGGTCGTATCGGTCTTTAAATATCGCAGACGATAACCGTGTAATATTTATTTGCAGATAAGATTGTTCAATCTTGTATAAACACACAATTATCCTATATCTGGACAAAGCCTGGCGAATATAAGTGCATGATAAAAGAGTGCTACAATAATTATCATCACTTGACAAATCACAGATATCATTAAAATTACTGAAGTGAAAAAGTTGTTTTTTAACAACTTTATCACACGATAGTGGTTTACCACTATCGTGTTAAAAAAACGTATATTATGTTCGTTTGGGTATGAATAAAAAAATTTATATTTGATAAATTCTATATTGTGCTATTTAATAGTTGTTTTAGTTTTTTTTGTGAATTCAGGTTTAGATCAATACTGAGCACAGTTAACCAAAACTTCGTCAACGCAGAGGCCTGAAACAGGGTCGAATGCTGCACCCTCGTTACATGACAACAGGCGGACGTGGCCGTGCAGGCAAGAGAAGAAGTAGTAGCAGTTGCCGGGATATCTGCAAAACACAGCATTAGATTAGAATGATACGCCTCATAAATATCAGGCAAATCGAAGGACATTAATATATATGTAAATATAACCTAAAAAAATCTATTGTCGAAATTCCTTTTTTGAAGTACTAAAATACTCACTTGTAATTCCTGATTTTGCCATCATCGTCATTAACACCGGCCGGACAGGAGAATCCAAGGTAGTCTAAAATAAGAAAAATAACATTATTATAAAATATTTGTTTGTAATTCCGTTATGTCTTTACGTAAATATATTTTAAACACTACATTTATTTGATTACTAATTCTTTATTTCCAGAATCGTTTAGTTTCAGTTGTAGTCTGGAATCTCTGATCTTTCAAGGTTATTGTTAAATATTGACTGATGACAATCACTAACTCAAAACCCTGCCTATAAGGTTAATAATGTGATTTCTGTGTACATACCGCCGGATTTACAAGAAGGCACTAGATGGGGCCAGTCGCAACGACCGCTATCAGCGTTGAAAGCGAGGCCGGTTGGGCAGTGCATGTCAATAGCGCGACCCTCGATGCATACGCGGTAGTGACCGCAATTGTCAGGAGCCGCATAGGGTGATGAGAAGTAGCCATATTGGTGAGGGCATTCTTCAGTGGGTTGTGCTGGTTCTGTATAAATCAAAAATGTATTCTGTCGTGAGGTAATTTCAATGTTTGAAAAGTTAACTTATGAAGTTAAATTAAAAAAGTAAGAAATTGTGCAAGGAGGACGATTGAAATATGACTAAATAAATACAAAATCTATACTAAATAACAAAGGATATCTAAAATTAAATGCACGAACAATTTGTGTTTTTGAGCAACTGTTACAAGCTTGTAGCAATTATGTGTACTTACGAACTGAACCCCGTCCTAAGCATAGTACATCTGAAGGGTATCCACATGGGTAGTTGGGGTATTTGGCGTCGGGGTTGTAGTGCAAGCCATCGGGGCACGTTTGGTGAACTGGGACATAGTCCTGAAAGAAGGTTTACCATTTAAGATTTGTTGTAGAACTCAGTTGTGATGAAGAAAGAATTTCATCGAGACAATAGAGATAAAACAAATACCAATAAAGTGATCACCACATTTAGTCATCATCATCACCGGCCTACCACATTCAGTCATTATCATATTAATGAAATGAAATGACTTTGTCGTTTATTGCATTGTGGTTTGTTGCATTGCATTACATATCACCAAGAAATAATGATTCGCCCATCACGCAAGAATATCTCTGATCGCTGATAGAACCTTTGATTTTTATGATTGTGGAAAATTGTATTAGTTATTTGTATTAGTTATAAAGCATCTTTAACCGTTTCCTTATAAAATATTTAATTTCGTCATGTAAAAGAAACATGTAGAAGAACTTACATTACACCGTATGTAAGAATCGCAGCTTCCCTCCACGCTGTAGTAACCATTCTTGCTTTTGCACACATTACTCAGGGAGTTAGTGGCTGGTCCGGCGTAACCTGTGTTCGTAATATAGTATTATATTTTCATCATAGTGTTACTACAAGATAGCTTGAGGCGAAAAACAGATTATCTTTTATTAGTTGAATTTAAAGTGTTAATTAAATATACCTAACATATAAATACACAATGGTATTATTGTTAGTAATAGTAGATTACCGATTCAGAAGAATAAAGACATTTATAATCAGACTGTTTTAAACACCCCAAAGAAAGGAAAAAAAAAATTAGTAATGAGAAAATAATAAAAAAATACAAAGAAATAATAATTAAAATTAATAGCTTAGGGGCGAAATTATTTGGGATTCCTAGATACGATACTATACAGGATTTCTATTTTGCTTGAATTCTTGGCTACACGGGCCAAATTTAAGAAAAAGTCTTATAAATGTACCTACACAAATCGGAACAAAATGATAAGCAAAAAAATAAAAATGGAAAATTCAACAGCATCGTATGGTTAATTATGGTTAATATTCAATAAAAAAACCACTGAGTGTAATAATATGAACTCCCAATCCAAATAATGAAATATAAATAAAAACAAAATTTAAATTAGCCGCAACAGTGTCGAATCGAAACCATTCTAATGTCAAAATGTTTGTTCAAAATTCAAAATAATAATGCCTTACACAAAATACGAGTACAATACACAAACTAGCCAATTGTTTTATGTTCATGGATAATTTTGTCGATATACCACCAGATTTGAATAACACAATGTAACACAAAGAAATATTAAAATAAGAAAATGAAATTATACTTACATGTGGCTACAAGAGCCAAAGCAATGCAAAAGGAGAAATACATTTTAACTATACTGAGGATTCCAGGTAGAACAACTAGAGTGAGGTGTTGAATATTTTCCATGACTTTTTATACCCATTGTAATGTTGCGTTAGTAAATGATAGTTAATTAATGATAGTATTAAGTATGTCTATTACAAAGTGATTATAATACAATCTTTAAATATATTTTAATACAGACGTAGAATGTAAGAAATGTAATGTAGGTGCATCTAAAATTCTTCGTCACCTAGTTATGTAATAGTTCATAAACACGCTTTTGGGTCATTTTTAAAAAGTTTATCTCCCCCTTATGGAAAGGGAAGTATCGGATTGCTGTTGCTCATGCCAATGCTCGAAGGCAAATTGCGTGGATTTCAATTCATTTTTAACCTACTAAATGTATTGCCGAAAGTCAGTTTCTCCAACTTTCTAAAGAAGTGAGTTAGAAAAGATTACTAGGTCTTCTCTATGACAGTAAACAGTGCGGTGGCTTTTCTTTTTCACCATCAATCTATTTTCAATTTTTTAAAGAAGTCATTTTCCTCGTTAACGGTATGATACCGAATCCACAATGTCGTTTGAGATAAATTATAATCAGCCCTATTCTATCACTGCCGTCAACATAAGTCAGCTGGTAACCGCTACTATTGATATTCTCAATCCGCTATGTTACACAGCGAGAGTGCGTGGAATTTTGCCGTCTTCTTCTGCGAGCAAGTCATGCTTGCGAAGGAGATGGCGTAGCGGAACCGAGAGAGGTTTAGAACTCTCCCGGCTCGCCAGGCCCGGGAACGGGCCAGGTACCGCAGACGACTCGGGCGCCAGAGGTCGCAGAACGACCTCCGTCCTCCATAGGCACAGGCCTGGGGGTGACAGGTGAGGCCATCTGTCACCCTAGCAGAAGCAGGCTGGAGTGGCGGCGAGACGCGCGCCCGGAGCGCCGCGGAGCACAAAGGGAACATGGGGGTTCCCACACAGGAGGGGGTCATCTACAGGCTGTGGATGGACCGAGGTACGTCTGGGTACCAGGGATTTCCTTGATAGTGTACACCTGGTTCCCTGGCTACTGGTACCCAATATGGCGTGCGGTGACATAATCACCCTGTAATTAACCCTTAACCTTTCAATGTCTTTGTAAAACTATGACAAATTAGGTTATAAAACACTTAGATAGATATACATTACCCACACCTATCCCGGTAACGGTATCCCGTTCAGCACAATGATAGGTGTGGGTGATGTTTAAAAAAAATAAACAACTACCCATTGTAAATATTATTATTAATATCTTACAAAAATGCTTGATCTATGACACTTTTATAAACGATGCTGTGGAACCTACATTCGGGTTTCAGTGCGGTGTTTGGGTGACGACGGAAATTTTCCTCTAGAACCCGCTTTTCCATCTCCTGTTCACATCACATCACATTAACAGTCTTTAATAGTCCACTTGCTGGCCACTACTTAGGAAGGAGGTTTTGGCCTGCTAAACCACGCATGCCAGACGCTGTTCATCATTACATAATGTAACCATCATAAAGTACCGCTAACTTGACGAATTTCAGCGATATTTACTGATCTTTGAATGAAGTCATGAGCAGCGGTAGTTAAGTACCACTGGGTGACCCGTAAGTCGGCCTGGTTTGCGACCATTCCGAAAAAAAGTTTCAGTAGGCGATAGATCACGAAGTTGGCAATAAAGGTGTTTCATTAGTCAAACTTTATGGTTCATTATTCAGTCATTGAATTTTTTTAAAGAATAGATTTGTAGTTTAAACTAAGGTTTTTTTTAATGTGTCACGTTCTTGCACACATTTTGCGGAATCCGAAATGATAATCTTATTTCGTCACAGGGAAATAAAATCTCAACAGATACGTGAATTTCAATAATGATTTGATTGATTAAACATGTATACATTTGAATGAATATTTTACTGTCTCGTCAATATATGGAAATCCTGAATGTGATTGAGACAGTCCTAATTAATTTAATTAGAGTTATATTTGTCCTTTAGAAGTAATTCTATACTTTTATATTAAAACTGTTAAGAAACATTCATATATTTTACCATTAATTACTAATGTATATTTACAAATTTTACTTATTTTTTTAATTTTGTAATTTTAAATTTTTTTTTTTTTATAATTGAAGTCTATGTTTAGTTTGGTTTTGTTTTAATGAACTGAATTTCAATGCAACTATTCAGATATTTGTAATATAAATAATCAAAAGTATTGTAAAAATAGGATCATGGGAATCAATATTATGAAGCCCTTTACAATTTTTTATACACTTCGTATATACAAAATAAAACACGTACATAAGTATTTAATACCGATGCGCTACGGTTCAAGCTATAAGTTCGCCACCTTTCTTTACTTTCTAATTTATAGACATCACGCAAAAGCCACATTTTTTGCACACATTATCTTCTTTATAATTATATAACTTAAAGTTAAAGTAGATGTCTTAGAACTTAGACTTTGCTAAACTTAAACTTAGAGATATTCAAGGACTGCACTATAGTTACTGATTATATCTTAAGTCAAGTAAAGATTCAGCAAAGTTAAGTCTGCTTTGTAGAGCTCACCCTTAGGATTTTTCAGTAAATGAACCAAGTGAAGGATTAAGTATTCACAACAGTTTGTTAACCTAATTGTATATCTTAGAAAGTTTTATAATGCTGTTTTTTTTAATAAAGCTACCTGTCTCTCAGCATTTCCGAGTGGAGCGAGGAATTCTGTTTAGTACCCCGCTGCACTGTATGTCTCTACTAATATATATGTATAAAGTTATTTCTTGTATCAAATCACATCCACAGCCTATAATAGTCCATTGCTGGGCATAGGCCTCTCCTTAGAAATGAGGTTTTGCTCTACTAAACCTCGCTGGACAGACATGTAGTTTGCTCCAGTATTCGGTCCCTACGACATCCACGGGATGATTATGGATGGTGACATTCCGTACTTTTAATCCGACACCATACGGATGTACTATGTACGACTTAATAGTCGAATTAATTTTCCTTTTTTGTAATAATAATAATAATAATAGCCTTTTATTTCCCATAACAAGTAACTCAACATTTGGTAGATTTTTATAACAACAAACTAATTTCACTTCACTTGTGGAATTTACATAGGTATATCTTTTTATTTATTTTTATTTATTTATTTGATTCTTACTTTATTTCATTTTCTCTATTTCATTTTTAATTTTTAAAGGGGAACCCACTTCTGGGTGAAGGCCTCCTCCATTTCTGACCATAGGTTTCTGTTTTTGGCTAGTCTCGTCCAGTTTGGCCCAGCAAGGGCCACGATATCGTCGCGCCATCGTCGTTTTGGCCTGCCGCGTGGTCTAACTGCATCTCGTGGGTACCAGTGCAGGACTCTCTCACTCCATCGTCCATCGGTTGTTCTCGCTATGTGTCCAGCCCATCTCCATTTCAATCTGCATAATACCTCAGCGGCATCTATGACTTTAGTTATTTTTCTTATGTCGGTGTTTCGTTTTCGGTCGCTTAGCTTAAAACCTAGCAGGCTTCTTTCTGTCGCAGACTGGAATACTTTAATTTTTTGTATTATTTCTTTTGTAAGCGCCCAGCTTTGGCAGCCGTACAGTAAAGTAGGTAAAACCACAGTATCCATTGCTTTTTTCTTTAGTTTGACAGGAAGTTTCGATTTAAATACTTCTTTGAGCGACCAATACTTAGCCCAAGCTTTCTTTACGCGACTTTCAACTTCTCTTTTCGTCTGATCATTGAAGCATATAATTTGTCCCAAGTATGTATATTCATCAACATACTGTACTTCTCTTGATTGTATAACCAAAGGGATCTTCTCTCTATTGGTCATAACGCAGGTCTTATTAGGATTCATATGTAATCCGCACTTTTGACTCTCTATGTTCAACGTCTTCAGTAGGTACTCCAAGTCTTCATATCCTTCCGCCATCAGAACAATATCGTCGGCGAATCGTAGATGGTTAATGTATTCGCCGTTTATGTTATTGCCTATTTTTTCCCAGTTTAGTTTTCTGAATATATGCTCCAAGAGTGCAGTGAACAAGTTAGGAGAGATTGGATCACCTTGTCGTACTCCTCTTCTCATTCGAAATGGTTTTCCTTTCCGTTCCAGTTTCACAACTGCCCAACTGTTTTTATATATTTCTCTGAGAACTTCAATATATGTTTCATTTATTCCCTGTTCTTTCAGTGCATTCCATAAAGGATCATGTAATATTGTGTCGAACGCTTTAGAGTAATCGACGAAAGCGATGTATAACGTTTTATTGTATTCTTCATATTTTTCAATGATCTGTGTTAGGGTAAATATGTGGTCAACGGTAGAGTACCTTTGACGAAAGCCTGCTTGTTCTCGGGGCTGATTGAATTCTAGTTGTTTAATGATTCTTTTAAGTAGGACAGCAGTAAATACCTTGTAAATTGTTTGTTGTAGGCTAATCGGTCTATAGTTTGAAATATCATGTGGATCGCCTTTCTTGTAGAGAAGAGAAATTATAGATGTGTTCCATTCCTTGGGTATGACTCGGTTATGCAATATTTCATTAAATAATTTTGTAATAAGAGGAGTCAAAGGTTCTTTGATAGCTCGTAGAACTTCATTTGTAATACCGTCCTCTCCTGGGCTTTTGTTGGACTTCAAATGATTTATCACCGAGGCAATCTCGCTGTTCAAAAAAGGTGGTAAATCTTCAATATTACAATTTTGCTCTTCAATACAGTCGTTATAATCTGTAAATTTGTCATCATATAGCTGTTGGTAGAAGTCTGTCGCTATAGAGATTACTTCACTTCTGTTTGATGTTTTCTGTGATTTCTTTGATCCATTTCTTACCATTATTCAATTTTTTCTTGGCTCTCTTAAACGAAGCTCTTTTCTCAATCTCTTCCTCTATTACACTGTATCTGTACATTTTTCTGTCGTGTCTTAGTTGTTTTTTTACTAGTTTATATAGCGCGCTTAGTTTATTTTTCTCGGATCTTGATCTATTTAATTTATTCTTTAGTCTATTTCTCTCGCCTATTAGTCGTATTATATATTCGTTTATTGGTGTCTGCTTTTTCATGTCTTTCAGTGGAAGTTTTTCTACAGATTGCTTTATGCAAGAGCTTAGTCTTTCGTAAGATATTTGTGTATCGCTCGTTATTTGTAATGCTTTCGATAGATCTTTAAAAGCTTTATTTATAAATTCTTGCTCTATTTGGTCTAAGTCGCATGCTTTACGTCTTGTGCCGAATTTTTTGCGTGATATTTTGTTACATTGTCCAATATATAGCTTTGCTCTCACCAACCTGTGATCACTCGGAAAAGTTGCGAGATATATTATTTAGTTGTTATTTTTAAGAAAATCAGATAGTCCTCGACACGTCTCTGCGTTCATCACAGACCACAACACAAGCGGCATCTATTATGCCAGCGCTGATATAATCTTAATGTTTACGAACGAAGTGTCATGTCCGTTCAACACAAAGGGAAGATCCTCCTACCAGGCGAGGTGATCATGCCTGGATTGCCGCGGCCCAACGGTTGATGTTGGGATGTTGTATATATGCTATTCGGTGAGAAAATTCTTCATATCGCGATACAGGATTTGCAATTCTCATTCGGGCGTTACTCTATATTTTGGTGTGTCTTCGTTAGATGGCGCTGTGGTATGTTTCTGTTTCTTTGTATGTGAAAGTCAATTTTGGTGATAAAAATTCGTTCGAAATTCAGTTCCGATCTACTATTGATCCCACAAATGTCATAAAAGGTATTCTCCTAAAGCATTAAACATACAACGTTGACTGTAATGTGATTATAATATCGCATTGTGACCGAAAGTTGAATCGGCACTAGTAATATTTATTTTTTATGAACTACCAATGAATACTCCATATTATGAACTATCAAAGAAATATGAGCACGTGAGTCTTATTTCGTAGTCATATGTATGTTTACGAACGTGAAAATCATTGTTATTTTTACTTTTTTCAATACTGTTAAGTGAAAAGACTAGATATGACAACAGAAATTTCTCTTGCATCAAATTTATGTTGAACTTACGTCTGTCTGATCTGAACTGGCAGATAGCAATGTTATGATTATAAACTTAGATACTTTTTAAAATATCAAACGCAGAAATACAGACCAATGTTAGTCCCGATGGTTTTTTGGACTGTTTCTTACCTACCGACTGACGTAGGTACTCACTGAGCATGGATGCTTCGGTGAGTACCTGAATCGGATTGGACGCGAGGAGACGGCACAATGAGAGTACCGAATCAGCCCATCACACTCTGGAAGACTGCTCTGCGTGGGCGTCTGAACGCGAAGTCGTGGTCGACCAAATCGGACGAGACCTGCCTCCGCCACCAATAATTAGTGCCATGATGGCGGGTAAGGAGGGCTGGGCGCAGTGGTCTCTTTCTGTGAAGCTGTAATGTTCCAGAAAGAGACCGAGGAACGGGATCGAGCGAGGGCCGATCTCGAGCGAAGAAGACGTCAGCGGCGGTATGAGAGAGAGTGGGGACCTCTGATGTCAGATTAACTGCTGCGGTAGGAGATGGGATGGTGGCCTGATCGCACGAAAAACGTGATCGTGCCGCAACATTTAGTGATAGGGATAGGGCCTAGTTAGGTGCGGCGTCGATCTGGGGGGGGGGGGGGGGGGCTGAAATCACATTTCACGAGTCCTCCCTAGAGTAGGGAGTCTAAGGCTGGCCGTCGGGGTGGTTTTTAGTGGAAACACCACATACTCCTGGCTCATGTATCCCCAAGGAGCCGGAGATCCGAAGGGATTTTCCACCCCGTCAAAACAAAAAGAAAAAGCTAATTTGCACTGTATAAGAACTGTGTTTGATTTATAATGGACATAAAAACAATAAATACTCTGATATTCGCTTCACGACGCTTATTGACGATAATTGAGATGGGTGTCATTAAGGTGCTAATAAAACATGTCTTAGGTTTATGGTATTTTAATTTAATGTCGCATCAAATTTGACATATAAAAAGACTTAGTGCGCATATGGTACTTAGTGCGCATATGGTACTTAGTGCGCATATGGTACTTAGTGCGCAAATGGTACTTAGTCCGCATATGCTACGAGCGTATATTTACACTCACACTATATGCGCACTAAGTACAATAAAGGTGGATAATATTTAAATCTGTAGCTTACGTAACAAAGTCATATCTTGTCTTATTTTGTATTATGTATTACAAACATCACTATTTTACATTTAAAAATTAAATCTAGTTTTTATGCATTACATTACGTTACTGGGTAGAAAAAACAAATTGATGCATTTATTTGTAATCAGATCGCAAAACGTCTGCAGTGTAGAAAGTCAAACAAACACAATTAAGCAAAATTAAAAAATCCTATTACTACAGGTGCTATGGTAACTCAGTTGTTTAAATTAGACTAGACTAACTTAGTTAATAGACTAGGCATTTCGGAATCGTTATTACGAGTACGAGTATTTATTTTAGCCACCGCTTTAATAGTACCTCTTCTTGGGTGAATATCCTGATGATTTTCTAGCAGAGAATTCAGTTTCTTTAGCAAAGCGTTGCTTCTCATCTTCCCTGGCTTGGGCTGCAGCTTGTCTTAGCTCTGGTGGGCAATTTTCAACTTCGTCAGCAGAGACGCATGTAGAGGTCAGATCGTCGAAGCCTGAGTCACTGCCGCAGAACAATACTCTGGGCTTGTGGTCTATGCACATAAAGTATTTCTGGCAATTGGTTTCTGACCTGCAATGATCGAAGAAGAATTTGTTAAAAAGCTTACAGTTTACAGTTAGCTTACAGTTTTACTTAACATTGAGATAATCTAAATAAGGAACTGTCACTTTACAATATTATACAATACCTACTGTTTTTATTCATTGTATACTTACTAATTTAATAATAACACTATTAGTAACAGTAGATATGTATATACGTGTAAACATGGGTAACAAAATCTGCCATAAAGCATAAACATACAAAACATCACTAACTAATCGAAAATAGAATCGGAATCAGGGTACATACCCTGATTCCGATTCTATTTTCGATACATTCGATTCAATTTCGAGCACATAGTGGGTTACATGTGGGTTATATGTCGATTTCATATGTATGTAATCGACATATAACCCACATGTGCTAAAAGAAAAAAAAACAGTTTTATGTTTAGCCTTGCACTTCAAACTATGCTAACAGGTGATTAGTATTTCAATTTATTGCATTCTTGCGCCAAAATACGCACTATTACTTTTGTCAAAATACCATTAGCTTTGAAAATTATATACAACGTGTACATACTTAAAAATGCTTATCTACTTCCTAAACACTCATAATTATAATACAAAGAACACGTTAGATGAGCAAACGCTTGCATGGTATATTCTTTTACATCATAGGAGGACGTATTACCAAACTGGTATTTCTAATAACCAGGTTACGTAAGCAAGGTCGCCGCTCATCTCCTGACATTTAAGTACGAACTGACACCGAATGACCGGTCGACTCTTAAGTAACCAGTTCTCGGTATTTCAACTTCAATCACTTTAATAGTAAACTCACGACTATTTTAAGTACCTACTTTATCATTCAATGTACTTTTGCTATTTATTTAAACTTACCTGTAGAATCTGTAGCCAGCTGGCGGGCCAAACTCTCTGCTTTCAGGGATTTCAGGACAACGGAAGCCGAGGAAAGCTGAAAATTAAACAGATTATATAATAATATATTTTAATTAAAGTTTACTAGTCAAGTAACGAAATTCCTGTTTTGTGACCAGTATGTAGACCTGTGTTGTAGACAAATGACACAACTTTCATTTAACTGTTTAGTGTTTTCACAATCAAGGCCGTGATCACGAATATTTTAAAACGTGTTAAGACGGACTGTGTGCTAAGATCTTAGAAATACGTAAGTAAGTATGTTCAAAACGAGGACCTAACTTAAATTACAGATGATTTTGATCCTCTTATTTAAGAGTTTTAATTGCTTACCTTCAACATCGCAATCTTCGACCTCATCAGGCCACTCGCAGCGGTAAGTCTGAGAACTCCAGGCAAGACCCTCAGGGCAGTTTAAGTCATAGCCAACACCGTTGACGCAGGTTCTGAAGTAACTGCAGTTCTTTTGATCTCCTAACCTGAAGTAACCGAACTGGTTGGGACATTGATCAGTCGGTTGAGGGGGTTCTAGAAATAAGAAGCCGAAATTATGTTTAAATTCAATCAATGAATGCTGATACTTCTTGCTAATCTGAAGATTAATTATAATTGAAATAATTAATAATGGGTTAAGATGTTCCCATAATAACTTCACACATCTCACACACGGCCGTCTGATTCCAAACTAGGCAGAGTCTGACTGCTGATAAACATATATATTTCTAAATACATACATATTATAGATAAATTAAACCCAGACACAGAACAAATCATCGTGCTCATCACACAATTATTTGTCCTGGGTGGAAATCGAACCCACGACCTCCGGTTCAGCAGTCAGGGTCACTACCCACTAGACCAACAGGCCCGTCGGCCCGTTGAATATATTTATATTATTTATAAAAACAAAATAGTAAAACAAGTATCGTAAAAGGTTATCAGGAAGACTTAAATATTGTTTGAATATTAATCAGAATACGAGGAATGAAAACAAATAAAAAAATAATAGTTTCAAAGTGCAAATACTAGTGATATAATTGTTGTAAATGCGCGTCCTTAAAGGATACAACATACAATTGAGAATACTCTGAGTAATGTAGAGGACATTAACGACTTTACTTATTGAATAACCTTGAACCATTTATGTATTTATATAGGTAATACCTACTTAATAAAATATTCAAAGGACGCGTCCAGTTACAGAAATAGATTCAAGTTTTTACGTTAAGATATCTAAAATCAGTGATGATACAGTAATACTAAGTGATATTAATATATCGTGTACGTTCGATGAGGCAGTATGTGTAAGGTATGTTACTCACGTAAAGACGACCGTTCAAGACAGGCCACCTCGTTGGGGTATTGGCAAGGATAGGATGTGATTAGCGCGTTAGGGTTGAATCGTAAACCATCGGGGCATATCTTCTCTTCGGCTGTTCCATTCTGTATTGAAAAAAAATTGATTAAGAAAGATTTTGCATCATTACAATATTGCGCAAATATATTAAGAGGTAATAGTAGTAAAAATTTAAAAAGTAATGGTTTTTTTTGTGTGTGTTTTATGTGATGTTGTACATTTCATCCGATCACCATGATATGTTGTGGAAATAGTATCTGCTGTATCTTTAATCCAAAAAAATACCCAATAATGGAAAATATAGCTTTTAAAAGCGAAATCATGGGTCATTGTAAAATCTAATTAATTGGTTTTTGATTATTTGGTTTTATTTTTGAATGTTTTGTATTACTGCGAATGATTGTTTCTGAATAAATTAACTATGAACTAAAACTTATGATAAATTAAAACTTTTTTCCATAACTAACTTTTCAAAACAAACTCATGGCCGATTCGATATTAATCTGTTACATAGTTAGTATGACTATTAACAGCAATACTAATTGTGTCACTGAGATTAATGGTTGTGATAAGTCTAGAGCTACTGTTATGTTAGACTTTGTGAAAAAAAAAACAATGATAAAACATATTATATGAACTTGTATTGAACTCTGAGTTTGAGGAAAAATTATTAAATTAATACTTTCAGATTAAGCAGCTAACTATGATAAAAGACTTAAATATAAATAATGTAATATGTGAGTACAGCTGTATAATTTTATTACATTATTAATCTGTTATAATCCCCTGGATACTACCAATTTCGTGACTCGTTAAAACTGCAAATTAACAGAAATCTAAATGTTTTTATTTCTCAGAACGCCTGTCCCTATTAAGATGGTCGGATATGCAATTTTCTTGTTTTATTTTTATTTTACTATTGACCTATAAAAAGCAATGTTTTCAGCAGCTTTAACAAAAAGTAAATTTTTCCTCATAGTTTTTGAAATAGCCATGTTAACAATGTATATATATCAAAGCGACTATATATATACATATATATATATTAATATTACAATTTTAAACATTGACTCGCTCTCCTGTAAAATTACTGATTTGCAGTTCCTACATTCTTAATAGAGAAGGGCAAGAAGTTACGTTTATCGAGGATAGTACGAAACTATCCGTAAAAATGTGGCATGTATACTTTTTCCATTCATTTTTATGACAGTTGTCTGACGACGTAACTATGCCAGAGATCGTTAAGTTTAGCTTTGCAATTCACATTGAGAAAAGTTCAAAGGTTTACTTATTTATGAACAATCTGTATTAACATATGTTTTTGTTCCAAGCAATAAAAATAGTTACGTTCGTATTACATGTAGCGATGAGAACAAATATTTCCACACCATATTTATCGAATCAAACCGAATTACCTCTAATTCAAAACCTTACGTCTTTAGTTTTGAGTAGTTTTATTTAAAACGCGCGACTTCGTTCACATAGAATTTGAAAAGCGCTGCCTTTGTGGGTTCGGTTCCCGGACCAGGCTACATTTTTTTAAGGGCTTTCTGAGATAAAAAATAGCCTAATTAACTCATTATATAGACAGCTGGTAGTAAAATATTATCAAAATCGGTCTAGCCATTTTGAAGATTACCAGGAATAAACAGACAGACAGACAAAAATATTCAAACTGGATTTTAGGCATTGGTATCGTGAAAACAACCGTGTGAGCATAAAAAATATCTATTATTTTGACATTACAAACAGACACTTCAATTTTATTTATTTGTATAGATTAAAATAATGTTTATCCATACAAATAAATAAAATTGGAGTGGCCACTCCAGAACTAAGCCTTTTTTTCCTATCAGAAAAAAACCCTATAAAATTTTGCCTGGTCCTTGAATCGAACGACTGCAGTCGCGTACCGTACTACACCACTAAGTCAGCGCTTTTCAAATTCTACTCAAACGAAGTCGCGGGTACTAGCTAGTATATTATACAATTTAAAACGTAGAGCAAAAACAAAAGAAAAATTATAGTAATGATGCACACTATAAATTGACTCACCCTGCAGTCGTCATTAATTTAAATAATCAGTTCTTATGTAAAATATATTAAAGTTGCTTAAAATAATTTATTAAAAGAGTTTCTTTTTAACTTTTATCTTCCTCTTCAAGGAAATCGATTTTTACTTTTAACCTATTCAGAAACTTGTTTACTAAACGAATTGTATATCTATACAATTCGTTTACAATACAACTCGGACTTAGTAACAAATAAATTCGCATATAATTAAGAGAATATCCGTTTAGTAACATTTAATAATCAAGAGAAGGTCAAAACATCATCAAAAATTCTCATCACGTTTGGCAAATAACGCGTTCTTTATTGCCAGTTTCAGTGTGTGCGAACGGTTTTACACAAAAGAATGAGACATAGTCCTACTTCGATGAATGCTGATATTGTCATCACAGTTCATTTTAAAGTCCGTTATTACATTTTGTAAACATTTTTTTCTTTATGCTTTCATAAGTCATGAAATATTGTCAGTGCAATATTCAAGTTCTATGCAGTAGATACCAGCCGACCCGCGCAAAGTCGTTTGCGTCTCTCAAAAGGAACAATTTGCCCGATGTTTTTTTTTGCAACATTTTTCATTGATGCTCAACTTCTTTTAGTCATAGCGTGATGCTATATAGAATTTTTCGATTAATGGGCTAACTGACAGCAAAAAAAAAATCAATCCTGAGATTAGCGGTGTCAATCAACTACATGACTGCATGACAAACACGACTGCATGACTACACGGATGGCGTAGTGGTTTAAGCGGTGGCCACGCCGCTTACTACTACTTAGAGGGTTGTGGGTCTGATCCACACATGGGACGACACTTTGTGTGATCCACAAATTGTTGTCCCATGTTCCTACTAATGCGGGAGTTGTCTTTAAAAAAAAAACAACTTCAGCTTTTTAATATTAGTAAAGAGTTTCATAAATGTTTCTGGAGTGCAACCGTATTTGGTGTTACTTACAATGCATTCCACGTAACTGTCACAGCTTCCAGGAACAGGGTAACGTTCGTTTAGTTCCTGGCATCCTGACTGTAGTTTTGGTGCGGGGGCTGCCTTAGGCGGCTGCTGTTGTTGACCCTGATATCTAGAGTAAGCTTGGCCTCCAAACTGGGCGAGTGCTGTTGAAATAAAACAGTAAAATTATTAAGACTTTATTAAGTAAGAAATAGGAAACCTAAATGGCAGCTTGAATTATATTCTCACGCGGGATGAATACTTCTAAATGTATGTGGTTTAAACTGATACTATTTAAACTATAAATAAATATGTGTGTATATTTAGTTCATCAATCAGGTATCTATTAATAAATATCATTAAAAGCAAAATGTTAAAATGTCAATAGATTGGGTTGGGTTGGTGACAGGGTAAACCCGAATTTAAAAAAATGAGATCTTTAAAATCACATTGAAGTTAGTAAATATTAACTAAGTCTTTAAATTGAAGAATTATAAGTCATCTACAACAGAACTTTGTTAGTTTTATCTTGCATTTGCTATAATTGTATAAATTATTATATTTGTAACGTGTAAGGAAATAGCATTACCAATGATCAGTTAACTTTTTATCTAAATTGAGCCATTATTTATTTGCATTTTAGGTGATGTAAGGTTTAAGAGGTGTACGGTGAGTTAATCAAATACTTATACTTGATTAACTCACCGTACACTCTTGAACTTTCGCTTTCTATTAAATTTAATGCGGTCATGGTTTAGGTGTTATAGAACTTTATATTCTGACAATTTGACCAAGCCTCAATAACTACAACTGCAACCGTTCATCCCTTATTTTATCCCTTTAGAGGTGAAATTTCCAAAAATCCTTTCTTATTGCGTGTTTATTTTAAGTATTGCTGAGTTTGTTTTGTTGTCATTCATCATCATCAAGGCCTTTAATAGTCCACTGCTAGACTAATTAGAAAGGAGGGAGTTTTGGCCTACCATACCACGCTGGCCAGGCTGGTTGTTATAGGGTTTGTTCTAAGTTTTCCTTCTCTTTGCAGTGCTGTAGTCCTGCGTAGTTTGCTCCCTTAGTCGACTCTTACGACACTCACGGTATGAACAGGGGTAATGACACTCTGTAGTCTTGACATTAAATGCAAGGTACGTTGAAAAATAAAAAGGAGCAAAAGAAACAATTTACACACATTTCTAATACCTTAGTTACTTCTAGCAATCTATATTCCGTAGACGCAATACAAAGAATATTTTCAACAATCAACGAAACGGTCACAGTAGTTATTCAATTTGCACAAAATGATGAATAAGCACAAGGTGTGCCATGTTGTCGCAGTTTGTTAACGCAAACTGTTACAAAATCTTTACTGGCGTGTCAACTGGTTAAGTTATATAACAATACGAGTATTAGTATACAGTTATTGCTATGCTGATATGCAGTTCAATTTATCACCTACTTTATTCATACAACAAAAAAACAACGATCTAAAATGTTGACAAATTTTTTTGTGATGACTAATTTGAAGTTCCTGTTCCAAATTTTTAGAGATCGTCTTTGTACGCTCCACTATTTTTTATATTTTAAATACATCTCAAGGTCCAGATTGATAGACAAAGCATAACATAACTAATTTATAAATAAGTTGAAGTAAATATTGTTCAACATGGTCACATTTTAGGTAAAAACTGTTTCAATTTAAAATCATCGCAGTTAAAAAAGGTCTGTTAAAATAAGTTGCCAAAAAAACATACGAATTACTTACTAAAATTCATTTTTACGGATTCAAACACAAGTATTGATAAAGATTAAAAATTAATTATGCTATTCGTTCCGATAATTATTAATTTTATTTTAACATTGAAGCAATTTCAAAAATGAAACTTTAACCTTTGTCCGAGATTAATAACTTAAATTCTATTTTTAGAAACGGCGGGTTGTTATTCATTTTATTTTAATTATGTACCTACCCGTTGTTCTAATGACTTTGTGTGCATTAATCCATAATTTTAAATTATTCATCCATTGTCAAATTTTAAGCAAAAAGAAAAGATATTAAACTTGAATTTCAAATTCGATTCTTATTTACTACTATTATATATTTTTGTATTTTCGTCTTAAAATTAGCCTGTATGAAGTGATGAGTTTGAATAAATTAATTCTATATCGTTTAAATATAGCCACATATTATCTCAAAAGAAAATGAAAGCAAAATCACCAACTCATTCAAGTTTTTTTTTAAGATAAACTGATCCCATAATATGTAAAAAATTAACAATGATTAATTGAAATAATTGACCGTATAATTACATAATAATTACTTAAAGGCATGACACTTCTTGTTTACAAGTTAATTCTGCCTATTGTTTTCTTGTGTCTAACCACTAAAACCATGTTGCCGATTACTATAAGTAGGACCTCTCTGTATTGTACCATACTTTATTTATAACTTATATTGTTTTCCTTTACACTCATTTAGAATATGCACTTGGCATACGATTTCTTCGATTCTATCAATTTGGATCTTACTCAGAAAACCTAATAAAGTCGCATAACAATTAGATTGAATTTTAATGTTCCTTTGATGTTTTTTTTTCTGTTTTTCCGAACATCGGCCTAACTACCCTGGATAGGAAATATTTAACCTAGAATTTTCATTACAAATTACACAGATTTTCATTATTACTGTTTAAAGATGGGTGCATAAATAAAAGGCAAATAAGGTTCAGTTATGTTTGACAAAAGGCAATACAAAAAAGAAAATACTTTTTTACAATCTAACAAAGCTTTGACTTTTGACTCATTGACTCTTAAACGGACACGAACAGACCTCAATTATGCGTATTTGCCAGATAAATTATTTATGTAATGACAATAGGCATCACTTGAAATAAGAAAGATATATGGCAATTATTTAAAGACAGGTAAACAAAAATAAATGTATGGTAGTATGTTCATACATAAATCAATGTCCTTTCGTATCTAGTACGACGACTGCGTACAAATGCATTTATTTAGTTATAATTTGATCATTATATTGTATGCATACAGTGCATTACAAAAACGTGTGTTTGTCATAAAAACTACAATATTATAAAATAATGTTTTGTAAATTTTATTAATTTTTGTTGAATTAAAATATATGTCAGATTATTTTTCGTGACATGATTTTTAATAAGTAATAGTAACATTTCTTATTCAAAACTACAATGTTTGTAGTACAAATTCGATTTTATATAAACAATTAATATATAATTTAAACAAAAAAATGCAAAAGAAAAATTTCTACTTAGTACTAATGAAAACTTTTAAAACCGTTTTTATGAACTTTAAAAAATAAATATTAATATATGCAATAGTACTCACCGAAGCCGCAAAGGCACGCTAACACTATCAAAGTCTTCTCCATGTCAGATGCTACCCTGTACTGGCGTGTGCAAGAGTCCGCACTAGTAATGGATGGCGCAGATTTTAACCTTGAAGACTTTCAGACCAGACATACCAGTCTCATCTTACTTCACTTCGGTTACATCAGCAACAGACAGGGGATAAATGATGATTTGAGCACAAAATAAAAGTTGTAAATATTGCTTTAGTAATTCTAGTTTAGTCCTTTTTAATATTATAAACTGTCTAGGTATACCTGAGCTATCCTAAATAGATGTTTGCATTCTAAGATTTTTGACCATCTGTTGTACTTGCAACTGCCGCGCCATGGCCCTTAGCTGTTTGCTGATGTATTACTCAATCAATTTTTATTTGTAAAAGTAAGTTATGATAACAGTGACTTATGATTTAAAAACTATTAAGGAAACATCATCATCTGTTCCTTCTCAAATTTATATATATTGACGTAATATGTTGAACTCCTTAGTTCTCTTTCTGGAAGTTTCTATACAAATAAAAAATAATATTATTCTCGCCGCTTCCTACTGCGCTGTGTTTTTGGTTCGATCCCCATACAATACTTAGTGTGATCCACAAATTGTTGTTCTGAGTTTGGGTGTCAGTTGTGTCCGTTTCATGTGTTTGCAAAGTGGGGGACTTTGCGACATGCGAGGTAGGATTTATTCCTAGTGCGAGAGTATTCTTTAAAAAAAATCGTATCGAGCTGATCGACAATAAAGTTTACAAGCACTTAGGAAATCGAATAAGAAAGCGGTTATTGCTTTTAATATTCGTGTACTTGACCAAAAGTATGCCTTTAGTATCTACTACTACAACTAACTTTTAAATGTGAATAATAAATAAAAAGCAGCATTTTTAAAAGTATTCTTGGAATTTAAAATTATAAAAACAGTACCATTGACAGGTCACATATAACGACTAGATAAAATTCAACTAAAGTAAATGATTATGTGAATAATTATTTATGTTGGCCGAGCACTAATTGAGTGTGAGAGTACCTACTTATAAACGAATAATAAGATTTTTTTACAAAAAAAAAATGCCAATCATCACGCAACAAAATTTAAAGAGCTTTCAGGTGCAGTATTCTATATGTTGAATGTAGCAACACCTTATCGGATCCTTCTTTTTTAAAGTAATAAATCGATGACGACGTCGTTGAAGATTGCCATTAGAATGTGACTGAACATCAATATGGCCATCGTTGTTATTGTAAACTATGAAACGCAACATAAAATGTTTTCCGTCATTAGTAAAGGTCGTGATGAGTAGATACGTGAAGGTCCTGGGAACTACGGATTGACATGTTATATTTATAGCATTTTACAAATCTAACAGCTTAGGCAATCACTTTTAATAGTTCCTTGATCCACTATGCTAATTAATTAACTTAAGAAGTCACTAAAATATGGGCATAACAAATGTTTTTATTTAGAATTAAATTTATTGCAATATTTTCTGCGTTATCGAATAAAATCACATACATATATTCCATTATAATTTTTAAATTTACTCTTCTTGGCCTTTGTTTTAAAAAAAATTACGACTAATGAATAATAATTGACCATTTCTCGTATAAAATATAGTTGTGTCTATGTAGGGTTTTGTTGATTTCATTATTCAAAAAACCTGTATTTATCTGGTTTCTATCACTAGTAGGTTTACTTCGTAACTTGTATTTGCTTAGTAAAATACGATGAAATTTGTTAGGGTTAAATAATGAAATCAGTAAATTGAAAATTCTTAATTCGATCTTCTTACACAGTATAGTGAGTTTTTTTTAGTAATATCAAAAAGTGTCATAAGATCAAAGTATCTTTTTTATCTGGATCTTTTCTTTTCTTTATGACTTTATTTTTGTCCCTCCCTTTTTTTCCGATTAAGTACGACTCTAATTCGTTGCGGTTTGTCCGGATGAAGTTCTGCACTTGCAGTCTCCAGCCAGGACGATCAATTAACCATCGTGCCTCACACCACTCGCGTACTTCTTCGGGTGGGGGCCGACTTCCGCAAACCGCTTCTTGAAAGTTCGCCCCCTGGGCTGTGACCAAAGTCAACTCAAAGCTCAGAGTGGGGAAAATCAGCTCGAAGGGCCCAGTCGTACCCTATGTTACACAGGAGGGGTCCTACTTGCATAGTTTCAAATCGATACGATAATAAATAAATTCATATATAAATCCAATATAATAATGTTCTACAAACGATTCACGACAGTCTCTAGATTATGGTGTTCTGTGTGTTTCTCATGTCAAACAGTCTGTGTTACCAATATCCGACAATAGGTAATGCATGCATAGAATTATAATTAACATTTTCCTCATAATATTTCCAGTCTTGAGGAAAAAGTATAAACTATGTTATGAACCAAAATAAATCATTTCGGAACCATTTCACACTCTGTTAAAAGACGCTAATAATGGCGTTATAAAAATAGACATGTAAAATTTGCCGAATTTATACGATAAAATAAAAAAACCTTGTGTAATTAAAAAAAAAACCGCATTTATTGGTGTGTTCTTGAAAAATTGTATCTACTACGATTCTCGGTCATAAGAGCCGGTATCTGTCCCAAACTAGATTTTTCGTCATTTTAATATACTGTAGTTTATTGATGTATACCAACAACTTTGGAATACCTTTTTACCCGACTGGGCCAGAAGGAGGGTTATAGTTTTTGAGTTCGAGCCTTAACGGCTTGGCGGAAATTGGCATTCAAGGTGTGGTTAAATTCGAGTTGATTGTGAGAGTGACACTGGGTATATGAAAATTAAAAAAAAAAAAAAAATCGTCGGTTTGTAATTTTAAGTATGCGTTTAGCACAGACTGTTTTTTCAATAATTAGCTTGTTAATAAATTTGTATACGTATCGATACGGATGCCTACGATGTGACGCTCCTCGCTACTAACGCTTTTGTCTTGATCAACAACCGTCTGCATTGCTCATTAGTATTTTATATGTAAAGAATAACTGGTATTATGTAATAAATATATGTATTACCATCGTTAAAACCGTCATATGATCGATAAGTAACCTTTAATCTTTTAAAGAGGAATTCACTACTTGTTTGTATTAAATGTCAATGAATACAATTATATTTTAATTATTGATTAAAATTATGCTTCGTTAAAAAGCCATAGAAATTACTGGAACTTGTTACCAAAGATTTTAAATAAATTTGCTTAAGTGTTTACTAATTAGTAACCTGCATAATTAATGACTAGTTGGAATGTTACTTATTTGTGTTATATCATATGGGTATTTTAAAATAATTTGAAATAGCATGCAAAATTTGCCTAGAAGACTTAGAATAATCAGAAGGACAACTCCTTGCAGCCATGAACTTTATTTAAATTTGTGATCGCTGAAGGTCTTATAGTACGATCATATTTAATCATGATTGGGCTGGTCGAAGGTTCGGACATACACTTGTTGCCGCATTTGCTTTAATCATACCAATCTAAACAGTTTAGAGACTCTGGAACCGTACAATGCCAGACAATGCATGACATTTAGATTTCATGACGTGAGGATGAATGCTCTGCCGGAAAGTTAGCGTGGCAGTCGTGGCAATGCTCGCGTGTGCATAATTTCAAACAATTTTCTGGAACACGATTTGACAAAATCTTCATAGTTTATTAGGTTCATTAAGGGCCAAATATCACTAGTTTTGTAACTATAGTAATACCTAAGTGTGTAATGAGCACGTATTTTGTTTTGTATCTGGGTGTAATTCATCTATAATATTTATGTATTTAAAAATATTTAAGTATGTTATCAGCAGACTGGTGTAGTGCAGGCTCTCTTCAGTTTGGGATCAGAGGGCCGTGTGTGAGATGTGCTAGGCTATTATTATGAATTATTCACGTCACCCAATACTAGTAGTATCCTTATGTTCTACCAATTATAAACTATACACCCTGGGGATCTATTATGTACACTCATTAACAGAAGAAAACAGTACTAAGTAAGCAATTCCAGTTTGAACAAAAATCCGTTGTGTCCTTGCCTTGGCCAGCTCTCAATTATTTTTTGACTAAAAATAAGTACATTAATGGTGTTCGTGGTTGGGTACACGAGTAGATGTAGATAGTGATTATGATGTCACCATGTCTGTGTTCCTGCCACACAAATGAATACAATACAGGACAAAAATGTATGTCATGTATTGTATGTCACATTGTTGTTACACACCTACACCTACACTATGTTCATTGAGGCAATAGAAACGTGTTGTGCAGAAACGATTCCATTTACAAATTGGGCAAATTAATACTGTCAAATACCCGCCAATATCATCTCACTTAGTTTGATTAAAAAAGGTGATTTTTTATCTTTATAATAAAAGTATTTTTATAAATATATGAGTAGATAATTTTTGGTAGTTAAGCATCAATACTTCAATTTTGCTGTTATAAAATAGGATTGGGATATTTGTACATGCATATTATAATTCGAGAATTCCAAAGATTTGTAATGTGATGTCATACATTGCACCCGTGCTAAGCCGGGGCGGGTCGCTAGTCAAAAATAAACGAAATATTACAATTCATGAGAAAATAGCTTGTTAAAACATTTACATGAAAAAAAATTGTGAACCTAAATAAACATATTGCATGCACAAAAATTACGAGATTTGACATAGTTAAGACAGTAGTGTTCACACAAAGTAGATTTTGTCACTTACTTTGACGTCTTTTTTCTCTATGTATTATGAAACAAAGGAATCTCAATATTATTTAACTAAAAATTTAATTCTTGTACATATTTCACACACGGCCGTCAGATCCCAAATTAGGTAGAGTCTGTATAGTACAGGCTCTATACCAGGTTACCAGACTTATATATTTTTAAATTACATCCAGGTACAGAGCTAATAATCGTGTTCGTCACACGATTATGTGTAATGGGTGGGAACCGAACCCACAACCTCTGGCATTCAGGATCACCAACCATTAGATCAACAGGTCCGGTTATTAATTAAAAATTATAAAGATCAAAAC